TGCTGGGGATCGAACCTGGGTCAGTCACGTGCAAAGCACATGTCCTACTCACTGTTTATTGCTTCAATCCCCTCATTGATATTTTTATATTATCCTCTATTTATTTGCCCACTGAGTTGCAAATTTACTCCTGAATGTATTGTCTATCAATACTCTGGCATATATTTTAATGTACAAAAAAACCCCAATTAAAGTGAAATATATCAATTTCCTTTTTCTTCCTTTTTTCCATTTTTGTTTTTTGGGTCATACCCAGTGTGCTCAGGAATCACTCCTGCATTGCTCCAGTCCCTACTAATTTCTTTTTTAATTTCTGATACCCAGCCTGCTTCTACACTACACATGTGGTATCCCAAGTTTTGGGGACAGAGTTCCCATCAATTCTGGGGGTCTTCCAGTGATTCTCAGCAAAGACTTGTGGTCAGGGCACAGTGGCTACTTGGGTTCTGGGGTGCTGGGGATTACTCAGCCCAGACTGGTGGTACTTGGGAACCTCTAGGACTGCATCCACCAAGGCATGAGGACCATGTGGTAGAGGGGATAGAACCAGAGTCTGCCTCATGCAAAGCAGGTGTGTTAATTCTGTACTTTCTCTCTGGCCCCTACAAGATTTAAAAAAAATTGGGGGGGAAGTGAGGGGTGTCACACCAGGTTGTTCTTAGGGCTTACTCCTGGGTCTGTGCTCAAGGAGTGAATCCTGGTTGGCTGCATGTAAGTAACAAGAACCTTGCCCACTGTACTGTCTCTCCAACCCTTCTCTAAGATTTTCTTAATGAATTTTTTTGTTTCGTTTTTTTATACTTGAATTTTTAATCCACCTTGAATTTGATTTTTATTTCCTTTTTTTGTTTGTTTATGGGATACCCTTGGCAATGCTCTGGGCTTACTCCTGGCTCTGCCCTTAGAAGTTGCTCCCAGTGGTACTCAGAGGATCTTACGGGATGTCAGGGATCGAATCCAGGTCAGCTACATGCAAGGCAAGAGCCCTGCCTGCTGTACTATCTCTTGAGCACCTGGATTATGACTTTATGTCAAAAGATATATGGATATGGATAATTTTATTTTTATCCAGATGAAAATGGAAGCCAGTGCTTCCATTTATAATTATTTTTCAGCCTTAAAAAGATTTTTTATTTGAGGGCCAGGCGGCAAAGGCTCAGTAGCTGAAGTACCTGCCATCCAAGACTGAGGATGTCAGTTCAATTCTGGTTTTACTAAATGCTCTAAGCCTGATCCTGGCCACTCTGCTGTCTGAGATCCCAGTCACTGGTAGCGATTTCCACAAGTAAGTAGCACAGTTGGATGCTTGTGGACAGCCAGAATATTTGAGCACTTCAAGTAAAGGTGCTCCCCAGTAAACAAAGATGCGAGCATCACAGTAACACCCTGGTAAATGAGTGTGAACACCACTGAAGAGTGTGACTCCCTCTGAGCATGTGTGCTAGAATACTCACCTGACTCCCTGAGAACACAGAGGCTGAGGGGGTTTTGTTTAGTGTATATGCTCTCCAGTCATTGTCACAACAGCAGCAACAAAGGGAAGTGATGGGGAATTTTTACAAAATACTCTACCCATGACATATTCGATATGCCAAACACAGTAAGAAGAAATCTCACAATGGAGATGTTACTGGGCCCGCTTAAGCAAATCGATGAACAACAGGAGGACAGTATTACAGTGCAGTGCTACTTTTGGATAGGGAGAGAGAGGAAGCTCCCATCTGCAATTGTCTGCCAACCAGGCTGGCAGCTCAATGCAAAGGCCTAATGCTTTTGGACCCGTGGTTCTGGGGATTGTTCAGGCCCCTCACGCCCACCCACCCTGGCAGTGCCTGGGGGTTTCTAGGGCTGCATTTGGTGGTGCTGAGTAGATTTCCATGTGGTACCAGGAACTGACCTGGGCTGAGAACATGCTAGGCCCATATCTTAAGCCCTGCACTAAGCCCCTATTTCAACAAGGTATTTTTTGGGGGTTAAGAGGGCACACCTAGCGATGTTTAGGGGTTACTCTTCAAGTAAAGAGTTTTACTTTTTTTTTTTACCAGTAATTTCTGGTTTTACACTCAGAAATTACTCCTGGCAGTGCTTGGGGGACAATATAAGATGCCGGAGATTGAACCTGGCCAGCCACAGGTCAGCAAGTGCCCTACCTGCTGTACTAGCCCTCTATAAGTATACTATAAGTTTTAAAATATACATCTTTGATCACACTTATACAGAATTATGAATACTTACACATTTGACAGGCTGAAGCAATAGCACAGCGGGTAGGGCATTTGCCTTACATGCAGCGGACCCACGTTTGATTCCTCTATCCCTCCCGGAGAGCCCAGCAAGCTACTGAGAGTATCCCATCCACATGGCAGAGTCTGGCAAGCTCCCCGTGGCGTATTCAATATGCCAAAAACAGTAAAAAGTCTCACAATGGAGACGTTACTGGTGCCCACTTGAGCAAATCGATGAACAATGGGAGAACAGTGCTACAGTGCTACACATTTGACAGGGCTGTTGCTCAATTTGACTTTTTATGTGGTGAGGAGAGTTGGGTAATGCTCAAGGATCATCCTGGAGGTGCTGGGGGACCTGGGATTTGAATGGGGTGGGTGTGGGGCAGCCACATAGCCACATGCAAAGCAAGCATGTGATCTCCTGTACTGTCCAGCCTATTTGATTTTAAACCTTTAAAAGATACTGGAACGAAGTCTCAGAGCATCAGATTTTTGAAGGCAATGATAATATTTTTCCTTATCTTGGAATATATTGAGAGCATTCTATGGTACATATGCTCAAAATAGTTAATTGAATGAATGAAACTGCCATGATCTAATTCACATGTCTTAAGCAACACAGCTACTGAGAAACTTGATATTCCAGCTATGTCCTATAGCAAAATATCTGAAGCTGAGAACAATTAATGACTCATAATGGCAGGTACTACAACTTTACTACAGTAAAATACATGCCTCTTAAATATGGGACAGTAAATCCTTAATTTTAGAAAAGACTTCCTTGCGGCTTCTAGTCCAGAGGTGCTTTTTGAAACTGGTAATTATTTTTGTGAATACATCCCCTGCTTTTCAATGCAGTCATCTCTCTGTAATGGCAGCTTGCTAGGAAGATTTAGTCATCTTAATCCTTTATTATCAGAAGCATGACTGTATTTGACTTTAAATTGTGAACTTCTAAAAGACAAAGGACTCTATTAAACATATTTTCAGCCGTGCCAGAAAAGAAAATTGTCATCAATTACTAGTTGGGAAAATACCTAATGTATTTTTTTCTAATATTAATCTTAATTAATCTTAATAAAAACAAGAAGTTACTTTCTGGGGTTATATAGTTGATTTTAATAACAATACTGAATGAAATTTGATTTACTCAATTCAGTGGGTTATGTTTAACCTGACTGTACCCTTTGGACTTCTTATATTTACTTTTTTTTTTTTTGGAACATATTCCAGCTGTGCTCCGGGGCTATTCCTATTCAGTACTGTAGAGGTAGGGGAGATGCAGCTTCCTGGGATCCTGAGGCACCAAATGGGGCCATCAACATACAAAGTATAGCACTGTAGTCATATACCTGGCCCTCTTACATTTACTTGATTCTTTCCCCCAATTCCAGCAGCTCGTCTAACAGAATGTTAGGAATTAGATTGTGTTTCTATCACTGGACATCAAGCATACTTTTCCTGCTTCGATTTCAATTAGGCTCACTATTCATTTACCATCACTCTTTGAAAAAAAAAGAAACTAAAAGTATTTTTACTTTTAGGTTAAATGGTGTGAAAGAGCCTTTTTTGCCTACTCTAATTTGTTTCTATTTTATTTTTATTAGCCAGTGAATTATGATCAAGAATAAGGGCAGGCAGAAGGTATTATTTGGCTCTGAAATGAAATTACATTCAAATCAAATTGGAGACATTATCATAACATTAGTATCATTTTTGTTACACTTTTACCCCATTCGGGAGCTCTGATTTTAAGAAATGAGCTACATGGTAGAATCAAATTGTAAAAGCAAATTCAGAGTCCGCTCGGTAAGGCCATTTAGTGCAACAGATGGTTTTATTCTCAGACTGGCCTTCAGGATTCGGATTACACTTAGATTTACAAAAATATTAAACAAAGGGGCTAGAACGATAGTACAGCGGGCAGGGCGTTTGCCTTGCACACGGGACGACCCGGTTCGGTCCCCCGAGCACCGCCAGGGGTAATTCCTGAGTGCAGAGCCAGAACTAACCCCTGAGCATCGCCGGTGTGACCCAAAAAGAATAATAAAAAAAAAAAAACCAAATAAAAAAATTCCCCAATATGTTAAACAAAATAAAAAAGAATCATCAACAACGCAAGTAGATAAATCCTTGTTTCGATCAACAGAAGACAGAACTTTTAAAACACCCTGTGATGCATCAGAGAAAATTTTCTTTGATCAGAAGACTTACCAAAAAAAAAAAAGTTTCTCAAAACTATCCTTTAAAAATAATTACTCGCTCCCCATACTTTCGAGCTGCTAGTTAAGGCCGTGTACACTAACAAGAAATTAACGAAATCCAAGAAATAGTGCGAATATTCTTCATAAAAACCTCATTTCCCCCCCCAAAGACTCACAGAGGCGAATAAAATATTACGTAAGTGCCTCGCCGGACCTGAACTTGCTGCACAAGGAGCAACGTTCCATTTGAACTCCCAAGCAGGAGGACGCGGTTTTCCCCGGCTCGGGGACGCTGGGACTTGTAGTCGAGAACCTGCGGCGCTTTCCCAGCCACCCTCACGTTTCTTTCCTCCAGAGTTTGGAAGACGGAAGGTCGCTTGGGCCAATTTAGTTTTCCTGGGTTCTCATAGGGCGCTTTCGTTTCATACTCCGAGCATTTCCCTCATTCGCCAATGAGCGCCTTCTCTTAAGAAGACCTCCAGGGATTGGCTGTCTCGTCCTCGCGTTGGAACAGCCTCAGCCAATGGGAGCGCCCGAACGACTGAGGCGACAGGGTCATGGGGGAGAATCTGTAAAGGCTCTCCGCGCCAGCGCCCTCGCACTTTGCCTCGCAGAGTTATTCTTGTCGTTTTCTGTTCCCGGGGCCGCCGCCGCTGCGAACGGAGAGCCGTGCTCAGCGCCTCGTGGGACCGTCTAACATCCGTTGGTGTGGCCCTGATGGTGCGGCAGGCTCTGGACTTGTAGAGCTCCGGTGCGGTATGTAGTGTCCAGGGACGACAGACAAAGCGGTGGGAGCCAGGCAGGCCGCGGAAAGCGGCCCCTGCACCAAGTCGGAGAATCCTGGGCGGAGGCGCTCCACCTGCGTCTTAGCAGAACCCACGGGGCGCGTTCAAGTGTTCAGTTCCTTCTGTCCCGTGAAAATGTTGGCTTTGCTCACTTCCCCTCCGCCTCCCGCATTTCCGAGTTGGACCAACACTGGCCTTATTCATGGATGTCCCCTTGCCTCTTTCTGTTTCTCCAGGTTGCTCCTTGGTCATTTCCTCTTCGTTCTGTGCACCAGCACATCTACGAAGAGCAGAAGGACTTGCTTGTGTCTGACAGTCAAGAGAGACCAGTGTATTTCGGTATTTAAAAACAAACAAACTATTGGCGGTTTTTTTTTTTTTTTTTGTCCTGTTAGTAGTTCTCGTGGTGGTCCGGTATGTTAGGTGCAGAATGGACGTCAGCATCTGTCAGAATAAAAGTCTCCATAGGATCAAGTATTGTTCTTGTTTGGGCACTGCATTGTTATTGTACCAGCGGAACTTGGTGGTCTTTTTTGATCTTGATAACAACTAAAGACTATTTTGAAAGGAAGCTGAGGCTCAAAGGAAGAGGAGTTTCTAGTAAGGGGAAAGTGAGGCAGAGCTTGCTCTTGTTAAAAAGCCCTTTCAATCAAATACCATGTGGGGCTCTGTGTGAGTGTGTGTCCTTGGCAGCACTTTGTACGTGAGAACGTAATGATTATTGGAGTCTAATGGTAATTCTTGGCTACAAGGAAAAATGACCTCTCTGATATTTACATAATCACAGATGTATCACACTCATCACTTAACTGCCAACTTCTCATTGCGGAGTTCCCAGATCAGCTGCAGAATAGGTCTCACCTGGGAGCTGATTGAAAATGTAAGCTCTCAACACTCAATCAGGCAGCGTTAGAGTCTACTTTATTATTGTTGTAGTTTAGCATGTTTACAATAGTGCTGATGTTTATGGTTTTCATGTACAGTTTCTGCACCTCACTACCACCAAAGTTCCCCGTACTGTCCACCAATGTCCTTGTGTTACTTCTAATTTACCCTTTTGTACCACCTCACTCACCATGGTAATCTCAGTTTTGTCATCCAAGGCCAGGGTTAGTTATTATTCCATGCTGTCTGTTCTTTATTTTGTGTCTTTATGTACCACAAATGAATGAGATCTTCTGTGGTACATACTTGACCTCCTCCTGCGCCCTGTTTTGCTTAACGTGATATCTTCCAGTTTCATCCAGGAGGCAATAGGCTGCAAAATTTCGTCCTGTCTTTCTGCTGCATAATATTCCTTTATGTATTTATACAAATCGCTTTGCCCATTTACTGTTGACTGGACATTTGTGTTGTTCCCATTTCCTAGCTTTTAATCACAGCAATGATCATAGGTGTGCATATGTTGTTTCAAATTAATTTATTTGTGTTGGTGAGATAGATGTCAACAAGTAGAATCACTGGATCATATGGAAACCCCCTTTACTTTTAAAGAAACTCTATATTAATTTTACATTGAGATTGATGTAGACACAGTAGCTGCTTTGTACTTTTATTTATTTTTGGATTTAGGGAAAATGTGGTAGTGCTCAGAGGTTACTGCTGGCTCTGTGTTCAGGGATCACTCCTGGTGGGGCTTAAGGGACTAAATGGATTCTGGGGATTGAACCTGGGTTGGCCACCTTCAAGACAAATTACTGCCCTACTGATTGTACTGTCGCTTTGGTCCCTGTTTTTCAGTAAGATCCTTTACGAAATTAGAGAGTTTATTGAACTTTGGAGAACATTCATTGTGTTAAAATAATTTAGAATAAATGTGTAGCACTGTAGCACTGCCCTACCATTGTTCGTCGATTTGCTCGAGCAGGCCCAGTAACGTCTCCATTGTGAGGCTTGTTGTTACCGTGTTTGGCATATCGAATACATCACGGGGAGCTTGCCAGGCTTTGCCATGTGAGCGAGATACTCTCAGTAACTTGCCAAGCTCTTCGAGAGAGGCAGAGGAATCGAACCCGGCTTGGCCGGGCTGGCTGTGTGCAAGGCAAACACCCTATGGCTGTAAATGTGTAGCATATAAAATAATAATCTTAAAATTAGGGCTGGAGCAATAGAGCAGCAGGTAGGGCCTTTGCCTTGCACGCAGCTGACCCGGGTTCGATTCCCAGCATCCCGTATGGTCCCCTGAGCACTGCTAGGGGTAATTCCTGAGTGCAGAGCCAGGAGTAACCCCTGTGCATTGCCAGGTGTGACCCAAAAAGAAAAAAAAATTATAAGACACACAGACAAAATAAATGGCAAATACTGTTAGCTCTAAACTTGTTGGATAAAAATTCAAGAACCTTTTGTTTATTCATATACAGTTTAAGCATAAATTTTTTGGGGGAGGGGTCACACCTGGCAATGCACGGGGGTCACTCCTGGCTTTGCACTCAGGAATTACCACCCTGGCAGTGCTCAGGGGACCATATGGGATGCTGGGATTCAAACCTGGGTCAGCCACATGCAAGGCAAACACCTTACCCGCTGTGCTATCACTCCAGCCCCTAAGCATATGTTTTGTTCCACAATATTTCCATTGCTCAAGAGCTTCTAGTTGTCTCTTTAAAGAAGGGAATGGAGTTGGTAATGCTAGTAGTTTTCCCAGTTTATTTAGTTAATAGAAACCTATCCCTAAAATTAACTTACCTAAGAAATATCTTCTGTAGAGTTTTAAATGTTCAGGGTTTTGTTCAGAGGTCCTAGGCTTATTGAAAGGACATAGCATTTATAAACCATCATGAATTTGTTTTTCATAAATTTTAATTGGTTTTACATTCACCTGGAAACAACTGGTATGTTTCTCAAAATGATAAGTTTCTATAAGTAAAAAGAAAGGATAGAAAAAAAAAAGAGGCACACACAAGTAAACAATAAAACAAAAGTATATGTCTTGTACTTTACCTCCAAAGATTCCTACTTAGGTCTGGGCCATGGCATCTGCATTTTATTTTTAAATTTTTTTCCTAAGTGTATGTGACATTTTTTATTTTCACTTTTTAAATTGAATAAGATACATAATTAAAAAATTGTTCATGATTGGGTTTTAGTCATATAATGTTTCATGGGCTTCAGCCATATGATGTTCCAACACTGGTCCCTTTACCAGTGTACATTTCCCACTACCTATTGGTGTGGCCCCCAAAACAGAAACAAACCAAGTAGGCTCTAAGTAAGTCAGGACCGGTAACTGTGATTTTACACGAATCATTTAAACTCTGGCTTTGTTCATCCTTAGAATGGGGTTAATTCTAGGAGCTACCAATAAGGTGAGGTCCAAATAATATGATAAGATATGTAAAGAATTTAGGTTAATGCCCAGAACACAGTAAATGCTATGCTTACTAAACAATAGCTACATGTTATGCAGAATCAAAATCAATGAAAAATAGTAAGATAATTAAAAAGTACAATTAGTATGCCTTTTAAGCAATTTAAAAACTACAGCCAAGAATCTAGAGCCAGGGAGAACGCGCAAAGAGTTGGAGTGCATGTTTTATTAGCAGGCAGCCTAGATTTAGTCCTCGGCCTCACAGGTCCTCCAAGCACCTACTAAGTGTGATCCCCCAAGAACTGAACTGGTAATTGACCCTTAAGCACAGTTCAGTGTGGTCCAAACACCAAAATAAAATTAAAATAAAGGGCAAGAGATAAAGCTTGGTGCTAGAGCACCTGCCTTACATGTATTAGGCCCTGGTTCAATTCCTGACACAGCATAGTACCTGGGGCACAGATGTGGGTGGGAGTAAACCCAGAGCACCGCCAGGTGTGATGTTTCCTCAAAGAAAAAAGAAAAAAGGAAAAGAAAAACAACTGCGAAGAGGATTACATCACAGACGACCAAGGGGTGGGGGCAAGGGCAAGTACTTTTCTCAAAATGAAGTAGTAGTTATGGTGGCAAAAGAAAAAAAAAGAAAGAAACAATGGACTGAATACATTGAAACTAGATTAAGGTGTTGCCTCTTAAATATCTCTAAAGTCACATCATCTTGATTATTTCTATTTACAAAAAGTCTATCCATGAACATTATGGATTGTAACTAGCATAAACCCTATCCAAAATGGAAGGAATCTTCAGAACCAATTACAAACTCGAAAGTCCGAGAGTCAGGAGTCACAGTTTTGAATCAAAAATACTGGCTGATAGCTTTTTGCGTACTCATGAAAATTTATTCTCATCTAATGAATCGTGGGAATGGGACAGAGTGATTATATAGTGTGTAGAGTGCTAGTCTTGTACTGGGTTCAATCCCCAGCCCTCTTTATGGTCTCCCAAGCCTCACCAGAAATGGTCCCTGAGTGCTGAGCTAGGAATAAGTCCTGAGCACTGCAGGATGTGTCCCCAAAATCACCCCCCCCAAAAGAAAAAGCTCTGTGAGAATGACCCTGAAAAAGTTACAGCTTTCCCTGTACAGCCAAGATGAACAAAAGGTCCTCTAACAATTATAAACTTCCCGTCTTCAAAGTTCACTGATCAGGAGAAGACTCATTCTATCATTTTATTCCCATATTAGTCAGACCTTAAAATAAATTTAACCTTTTAAATACAGATCTGGGGGCTGGAGAGACAGTACAATAGGAAGGGCATTTTCCTTGTATGCTGCCAATCTGGGTTTTATACTAAACACCCCAATGGTCTCCTGACCACCACCAGGAGTGATTCCTGAGCACAGTCAAGAGTAAACCCTGAGCACCACTGGGTGTGCCCCCCCACCCCGCAAAAAAAAAAAACCCCAAATAGATCTGGGCAATGTTATATTAACCAATGAACTATAATATTAAAAAAGTGAGGGAAAAACAAAACAACTCTTGCCCCTTCTAAAGTAAGTATTACCATGGGTTCAGAAGAAAATAATCTCGCTTTCCGATGGCATTTTCTATCTAAAACACCAAGTGAAGTCACCCAGGAGAGAGAGATACAGAATCTCTACCATATGTGGTATGTTAAGAAGCATAGTAAAGGAATAATGACCAAAAGTTATGGAATCTAAGACCTAGTCTACAAAATGTAGTTTGCCACGGTAGAGACTGGCGGGGGGGAGTTTAAAGAGGGGGATCCTGAGACAGTGATGGGAGGAAACATGCACTGGTGTTAGTGGTGGGGTGGGTCCAGGGGAACGGAGTCAGGGGGTGGTGATGCTGGAGTGTTATATGCATGACACCTTATCACGGATAGAGTTGGAAAATTGTAAATCGAGGTGACTAAAATAATTTTTTTTTAAAAAAATCTATGTGCCTAGAAAACCTACATCAGGATTATAGCTTTATAGCAGCAGTCCTCAGCATTTACTCCTTGCTCTGTGCTCAGGAGTGACTCCTGGTGGTGCCCAGGTGGTCATTTCAGATGCTAGGTAGGCCTCATGCAAGGCAAGCGCCCTAGCCACCTTACCTCCAGCCCGTGGGCTCCCTCCAGCCCCTCTTTTCCTTGATTTTTTTTTCTTTTGCTTTTTTGGGTCACATCCGGCGATGCACAGGAGTTACTCCTGGTTCATGCACTCAGGAATCTCTCCTGGCGGTACTCGGGAACCATATGGGATGCTGGGAATCGAACCTGGGTCTGCCGCATGCAAGGCAAACGCCCTACCTGCTGTGCTATTGCTCCAGCCTCCCCCCCCCCACCCCCCCCTTTTTCTTTTACTGGTTGTACAAGTAATTTCCCTGGGAGAAGGATCTTACTCTTTCTCCCCTGCCCACCACCACCCTTAGTACTATTTTGTTGTTGTTGTTGTTAAGGGGAAGAGATAATTGGACTGTGCTCAGGGCTTATTCTAGCTCTGTACTCCATGATAACTCCTAGTGGTGCCCGGGGGGACTATATGATCACAATTAACTCCAGGTGGTGCCAGGGATCAAATCATGGTTGACCACATTCAAGGCAAATGCTTTTTCTGTTGTATTGTCTCTCCAGCCCTCTATTGCTTTATTCTTTAGAGCTTTGTGTATTTTAGTACATGCTTGGTAAGGCCAGTTCTTTCATATTTTGCTTTCCCCCTGAGAATGATTTTAATGAGGACTTTATGAAGTTAGACTCTTGTCCCTGTCCCCCTCCCTACTTGGCTTTTTGATTATGATTAGCATTAAGTCATAATTCACGTAAGGTATTTGCAACATGATGTCTTTGAGTTCTTTTTTTTTCTTTTTTGGTTCACACCTGACGATGCAAAGGGGCTACTCCTGGCTCTGCACTCAGGAATTACTCCTGGCGGTGCTCTGGGGGACCATATGGGATGCTGGGAATCAAACCTGGGTCGGCTGCGTGCAAGGCAAACGCCCTACCTGCTGTACTATCGCTCCAGCCCCTGTCTTTGTTCTTAATAAGGAATATTTCCTTTTTTAATAAGGAATATTAAAAATATTGGAGCGATAGCACAGCGGTAGGGCGTTTACCTTACAAGTGGCCAACATGGCCGACCTGAGTTCGATTCCTCGCCCCTCTCGGAGAGCCCGGCAAGCTACCGAGAGTATTCGATATGCCAGACACAGTAACAAAGTCTCCAATGGAGACGTTCTGGGCCCGCTCGAGCAAATAAGGAATATATGACTTGGTTGATTGAAGTTGCTGGAAATATTTTGTTTAAGTCGGGTCTCATGATTGCAAGACATGTGCTTCACCAACTGAACATTATGCCACCCTGAAATTTGTTTTTAACTTCATATTTATATGAAGCTCGTTTTTGGTGGTGGTGGTGGGAGCATTCTTGGGCCATGTTAAGTTGTTGAGCTACCCAAGGTTGTTGTCCAGGGCCTATTCCTCTGTCCATAGGAATGACGCTGGAGGTATTCAGGGATCCATAAACAGTGCAAGGAATTGAATCAGTTTGCTGAATGTAAGGCAAGCTCCTTGGTTCCTTCTCTCTCTCTCTCTCTCTCTTTCTCTTTCTCTTTCTCTCCACCCCCCCTTCTTTATCTCTTTCCCTCCCTCCCTTCCTTTGGAGATTTTTTCCTGTACCATCTCTCTCACATTCTGGAGATTATTTCGTGATACTTTTTTTCTTTGGCATCTAATATGTTATATTTTCTAAAATGAAATCCTGTAATAAAGATGTGCTAAAATTTAAAAGAATTGTGTGATAAGTAGACTGCTGTCCGGTTTGGAAGATTGTATATATGATGTTAGCTCGATTCTGGGCTGGAGATATAGTACAGGGTTTAAGGCTTTTGCCTTGCACCTGGCCAAGAGTTTAAGGCTTTTCCCTTCACACTGCTTATGCTGATTTGATCCCAGCAGTGCCAGGAGTGACTTTTGGCACAGAGCCAGAAATAGCTCCTGAGCACTCCTAGATATGCCCAGCCCCTCAAAGGAAAGGTGATTTTAATTTCCTTCTATACTAACTTGTCAGTGATGCAGTTATATAACTTCTGTGACATTACCTCATGTCTGTTTCATTCTTCAGAATGTCCCACAGACAGGTGTGCTGTGTGCAGTTCAAATTCTGAGATGTCCTAAATGCCACTGGTCAGTGTGGGAGACGTCGCTAATCGCCTTTGTTTACTTCCTTCTTCAATTTCTTTCTTTTTTGGGGGATTTAGTTTTAATTTTTTGTTGTTGTTGTTAAGCCAGAATACTAGGTTCTGTTAATAGAAGAGTAAGAGAAAATGCTGTCAGCTAGCATTTTCCCTGAGGCACTTGTGGAAGGTTCCAGAAATGTTCTAGTGGGAAAAAGCACTGGCAGTGTTACAGTTGCAGAAGTGTAGCAAAGGTTACAAGCTTGAACTGTAAAGATCTTGTTTATTGTGACTGCAGTGTTAAAATATGTATTGCAAGGAGGAATTTATTGGCTTATTGAAGATGACATATGTTCTTTAAACATCGTGCGCACATAAATAACTTAATTCTTTTAAAGCAGCTTCTTATGTTCATTTTTACTTTTCTCAAACCGTGGGACTGCCACTTCTTAAGTTTTTGTGTGATCTAGATTCATCTGTTTCTTTCTAAAGGTGTTGAACTGGTGACTTTAACAAATGGCGTAATTACCTCAGCTGTCTAGGACTAATTTTTGCAAATTTCTGCAGACTTTCTACAGGATTTAAGAAGATTTTTGTTCACGTGTATGGCATAGAAGATGAATTCTTCCACGTCCACTATGAGTGAAGAGCCTGATGCGCTCTCTGTAGTGAACCAGCTTCGGGACCTGGCTGCGGATCCGTTAAACAGGAGAGCCATTGTCCAGGACCAGGGATGCCTGCCGGGGCTTATTTTATTTATGGATCATCCCAACCCCTCTGTTGTCCACTCAGCATTGCTTGTAAGTTGCCTTTGGTAATTTCGCCTCAATGTTGGAGTTGGAAGAAATGTTAGATGACTTGGTAAACTAAAGGTGATTAGCAAGTAATAGTAACTCTGTGCAAACATATGTCCATGAGGGTATGGCTCAGCTGTAGAGCACTTGATTTGCATGCGTGGGATTCTGGCTTTTATCCCCAGCACTGGGATGACAAAAACTACAAATTATTTTGGGGCTAGGTAACTAATTCAGCTTGCTGGAGTGCATACTTCGTATGTGCGGTGGCCTAGTTTGATCCCTGGCATGACATGGGTCCCCATCCTCAATTCACTCAGTGACCCCAGAGTACTGCCAGAAGTGTGCTCCTTCCCCCAGTCCAGATAAACAAAAAAATTTTTGAATGTGTGTAGTCCTTTTACAGTAGAGCTTCCAAAACTCATTTTGCCTAAAAGAAATGACTCTGTGGGGCTGGAGTGATAGCACAGCGGGTAGGGTGTTTGCCATGCACGTGGCCGACCCGGGTTCGATTCCCAGCATCCCAAATGGTCCCCTGAGCACCGCCAGGGGTAATTCCTGAGTGCAGAGCCAGAAGTAACCCCTGTGCATCGCCGGGTGTGACCCAAAAGCGCAAAAAAAAAAAAAAAAAAGAAAGAAATGACTCTGTGCACCCTTCGAAATCTCCATTCTCTATGCACTCAAACAGAAAGCACTCTTCATATGCACCCGGGGCTCTTTCCAGCCCCGTCTGGATCATTCCAGCTCTTTGGGAAGTGCTTTGTTTTCTGCTTTGAAAATATGTTTATTTTTATATTTTGAGGTTTGGGGAGTAGAGGGAAAGACCACACCTAGCAGTATGCAGTACTCAGCATTTCCTGTGGCTCTAAGCCAAGGTTTGCTCCCAGCAGTGCTTCAGGGTCCACGAGGTACCAGAGATCTAATACTGATTTCTCTTTTTTTTCTGGGGTTTGTTTCTTGATGCTTGGGTACCTTTCATGCTGTGATGGTGTCAGCCTGATGGTGCTTTTGCTTTTTGTTGTTGTTATAAAGCCGTATCCAGGGGTACTTAGGGCATACTCCTGGCTCTGTGCTAGGGATTACTCCTGGCGGTGTTAGAAACCAAATGGGGTGCTGGGGTTTGAATCCAGGTCAGCCGCATTCAAGGGATGTGCCCTACCTACTTTATCTGTACTCTCTCTCCAACCCTTTGATGGTGCTTTTGCTGCTGATAGAACCCTTGGTAAAGCATGGGCGAGCGAGCCATCTCCACTGCTCCTTTTGAGATTTTATCACTGCTTTTTAGCCAGTGTCTATTATGTGCTTGATACGTGGAGAGGTGTTTTTGTTTTGTTTTTTGAATTTGTTGTTTCACTTGGAGTTTATTGGGTTTCTTAAATCTGGGTTTGTGATTTTCATCAAATGTGGGAAATTGTTATACATAATTTTTTTCAAATGTTTTTCTATCTCCTCCCTTTTCTCCTAAAATTTCAATTACATGTAAGTTGCATACCTCCTGTTGTCCCACCGGTTACTGTTATATTGCTCTTTTGCCTCACCTTTTCAATGTTCACTGTGGGGTCTGAGATGGGGCCTGAGAGATGACTTTAGAGGCTGAGCACCATGCAGGAGATCTGGGTTTTTATATACCCTGATCTACATGATCCCTCCAGCTCATGCAGCAGTAGTCACCCAGTTGGGTAAGGCTCAAAACAAACACAGAAACTTCACTTCTCTCTGCCTCCCAATGAAATTTCACCTTGGATAGTTTCTATTGCTACATTGTATTCATTGTATTCATTCTTAATCTTATTGTAAATTCTAGTTTGGGAACAGTGTGATCCTTTGCAGATTGCTTTTTGGCTTTGTACTGTGGGTCCAAAGCAGTTTGTCTGGTTTTTGGGAGGCATCAGCACTCTCCAGAGAGGCTCCTCTGATTCTCTCTTATACCTCTGGTGTGGGGGGGAAGTTTTTCACCATGGGCTGGTGGTATCAAACAGTACCTAACCCTGTGAGCTCTTACTCTTGTGCAAGCCACTGTTCCAACAGAGGTTCATAGATTCCTGTGTAGGTGCCTGGAATTCTCTTATTCAGATTCCTCTGTTGCTTTGCTCTGCAAATTGTAGCCACCTGCCTCCTTTTTTTTTTCCTCCTTCTTTGTTTTGTTTTGTGTTTGGGTCACACCTAGGAAATGCTCTGGGGATACTTCTGACTCTGCACTCAGAAATTGTCCCTGATGATGCTCAGAGGACCATATGGGATGCCATGGATGGAACCCCAGATGGGCCAGCTACATGCAAGGCAAAGGTGCTACCCCCTGTGCTGTCACTCTGGCCCTGTGGGGTATTTTCTGATACTTGTCAGTTCTCTGATCCTCCGTGGACACTAGTGGGTGTTTATTAATTCCCTGCTGTCACTAGGAGTTAGCACCAGAAGTTACCATATTTAAGGTAAAGATCCCCAAGACTGCCTTCACTTGGAAGACCAGTTGCAAGTACTGCGCCATCTGTATTTCTGTCTGCCAATCTGTAAATTGGATGTCCCAGTGAATAATCTTTAAGAATATTTACAGGAACTGGAGCTGTAGTACAGCAGATAAAGCACTTGTCTTGTCCACAGCTGACCCAGATTTGATCTTCCACCCTACACACATCCTCTGAGCACCACCAGGAGTGATCCCTGAATGCAGAGCCACGAGTAAGCTCTGAGCACTGCCAAGTGTGTTCCCCCAGAGAAAGCAAGAATATTTATTGGGATGCTAAAAACCCCAAACTTCAGGCCATGAAATTTTTAATGTCTGGTATAGCACTATCCTCCCGTTCTTCATCGATTTGCTCGAGCGGGCCCAGTAACATTTCCATCATTGTGAGACTTGTTACTGTGTTTGGCATATCGAATACGTCATGGATAGCTTGCCAGGCTCTGCCTTGCGGGCGAGATACTCTCAGTGGCTTGCCGGGTTCTCCGAGAGGGGCGGAGGAATTGAGCTCAGGCTGGCCTGGCCGGCCGTGTGCAAGGCAAACAGTTGACCTATGATGTGCTATGACTTAAAATTACAGGCATGAAAAGAAGAAGAAAAATAAGACCCATAACCAGGGGGAAAAACTGAAAAACCCTAATCTTGTTCAGTAATTTGCCAGACTGACTCATGGGAACATGGGAAGTCTCCTTGCTTGTATTTGCTCATTTGTTATACAGATACATGTGGACAGGTACACAGGACAAGGGCTGGGTGTGGGAGGTGGGGGTGGGACTGGGGTCCTCCTGCATATAGGAACTTGTCACTGCAAAGGGTATTATCACCAGGTCAGAAACGGAATCTCCTTCAAGGGTTTCACAGGTAGCTGTCTCCTGCCCATCTTACTCACCCCATTGGTCAGTGGAGCTGAACGTCACAGACTAATCACCTAGTCTTTCTCATAACAGATAGCATCTTGACCATATCTTGGGGTGGCAGGGGTGGGTGTGAGGGTACAGCTTAAGTCATTCTACTGAAAACTCTGAATTGTTCAAAGGGACTTTTTATGAATAATAGAAGACATTCCTGTCACTTAGAAAATCTTAAGGGTTTTAAGAACACTGCCAGGAAAAAGACCAGATACTTATTTTTTTCACTGTACTATGCTCCCTGCTTCCCCTAGTCTGATCTCTGACTCTTAACTCCCTAACTCAGCAATACCCCTGAGCTCATTTTGAGTTTCCCTCCCTGCATCGCACTCTGAGAATCACCTCCACAGAAGAAAGCTTGGGAGTTGCCAGACTTGCCTCATTCTTTTCTCTCAGGGTCCTGTGCTGCATTTGTTCAGTGCTTGAGAACGTGCATTTGATAGCTGTCCTCTTTGTTTGTTTTTCTCCTTTTTGCGGCAAGAGTACAGTTCCCATGGCAGTCAATATTTTTATGTTTTGAAGTGAAAGTCTTGGAGTAACTCCTCAGAGGAGCAAATTGTAGTCAGAGGAAGATTGTAGAAGTTGTGATTTCAGAGATGATCCTTATCTTTGATAATGACTAGGAGCTTTGGAAGTGGTGTGTATGTTAGCCTGGAACTGGTCTAGCTCCTGAGGGGGTCCTTGAGTTACTAGCATAAAAAACCCTGATGTTTGCGAAGCTTGAGTTCCTAACTTTAACTCTATTAGGCTAGGAGAGTTACTGTGCTAATGAGGACATTTCATGTCTCCTGTTGTCTTATCTCTAGACCTCAAAGCTATCCTTCTCAGTCCTGTATCCACGCTGCTCTCTTGAAGCTTCTGTCCTCAGCCCTGCTGTCCCTTGTTGTCTTGGTGTCCTCCAGGTCTGTCTGCTGATGCTCTATCGTCTGCCTCTCCTGGCTGGTTGCTGCTCTTTGTTGCTTTGGCATTTCTTGATTTCCAGGCCATGCGCATGTGGATGAGAAGTACTGCTTCGTGCCATCTGCCCGGGCCCTGCCTGGGGTCAGGAAGGAAGTGGACCTGACCTGTGTTTGCTTTTATTTATTTATTTATTTATTTATTTATCATACCCGGCGATGCTCAGGGGTTACTCCTGGCTCATGCACTCAGGAATCACTCCTGGTGGTGCTCGGGGGACCATATGGGATGCTGGGAACCGAACCCCGGTCGGCCGTATGCAAGGCAAACGCCTTACCCTCTGTGCTGTTGCTCCAGCCCCTGTGTTCGCTTTTAAAGTGTTGTCGTCTCTCTCCTTAGCCAGGTCCATTTTCAGTCTGGCTACTCCTCATGTAGGTGAGACTGGAAACGACTGATTGCATGAACTAGATTGCCTGCTGTCCCCTTTCTCCCCCTTCTGCCTCCACCCTCACATGACGGGGATCTGTAGAAAATGTGCAAGTTTTTACTGGAATGCAGAACTTCTGGTTTAGCACAGAGAGGATGGGACATTTTGGATAAGCTGAGAATTACTGGCGGGATGAGGTCTGTAGGTGAGACTGCTATTCAGGTGTACAGAGAAAGTGCTCCATCACATCCCCTCAGAAGCAGCACGTGGAGGAAATACTTGGAAAAGTATATGTTAAGACAGAAGAACCCGAAGCAGGTTTTACTCTTAAAACAGATTTTTGTGAGCGGGAGCCCATATTTTGCTTTTGGGCCGCAGCCAGAGGTTTTGGGGCGGGGGGAGACGGTTGCTTACACCCAGCAGTGCTCAGGGAACCCACGTGGCCAGGGATCAAACCTGGTCCCCCACAAGTATGCACTCAGACCATTGAACATCTCTCCAGACCAAAAGACATTTTAAAGGTGAGTGTAAAACTAGAACCTAATCTTCCCTAACCTTCCTTTCCCCCTTCCCCTTCCTCCTTCCCCCACCTTCCTTTATTTTCCTTTCCTTCATCTTCCCCTTTCCCTTTCTTCTTCCCTTTCCCTATTCTTCCCTTCCCTTCCCTTTCCTTGGGATGCACCTGGGTTGGGTTGACTGCATGCAAGGCAAACACCTTACATGCTGTACTGTCTCTCCAGCTCTTTTGTTGTTTTGAACCAGACCTGGCTGTGCGCAGGACTTAGTCCTGATTCTGTCCCTAGGTGTCACTCCTGGTGGGGCTGTGGCACTGTGTAGGGTGCCAGGGCTCGAACCCAGGTTCACTGTATACAAAATAAGTATCTGCTCTATTATCTGGCCTCTAAAACAGGACTTTTCATTCTCAAAAGTAATTGTATGCTTTGTAACCCTCGTTGGTTTATTTTAATTAGTATATAAAAAACATCAAGGGAAATGATGATTTGGGACTACTATTTAAAATTAGTAAGTGGAGTGCCCGAGAACAGATGACTGGTTAAAGAAACTTTGGTACATTTACACAATGGAGTACTATGTAGCTGTTAGAAAAGAGGAAGTCATGAAATTTACATATAAGTGGTACTACATGGAAAGTATCATGTTAAGTGAAATGACTCAGAAAGAAAGGGATAGACATAGAAAGATTGCATTCATCTGGGGAACATAAAGTAACAAAATAGGAGACTAACACCCAGGAATGGCCAAGATTAGTACCAGGAATTTTACTCCTTGGCTTGGAGGCCAGCCACACATGCTAGGGGAAAAGGGAGCTCAGATAAGAGAAGGGAGCACCAAATAAAGGGTGTTGGGGGAATCCTCCCAGGATGGGAGAAGCATGCTGAAAGTAGACTAAGACCAAACATGATTGTCACCCATTGCCTCTTTTGTAAACCACAACACCCAATAAGAGAGAGAGAACAAAAGGGAATGCCCTGTCACAGAGACAGGGTGGGGTGGGGGGGATGGGGGGTGGGAGGGATACTGGGATCTGTGGTGGTGGGAAATGGGCACTGGTGGAGGGATGGTATTTGATCATTGTATAATTGAAACCCAAGCACAAAAATTTGTAAGTCTACAGCTGTACCTCATGATGTCTCACTAATAAAAATTAAAAAAAATAGTAATAAAAAAATTAGTAAGTGGAATGTAGTTTCTTGTATACTTGTGAAGGTGAAATGAAAATAAAACCAGAACAACCTCATTTTGACCTTGCAGATAAGCTAGGACTTTACCTATCAAAGGGCAGATTCAGTTACTGCCGCTCAAAAGATCATTTCTGCCCTCAGGGTTTGTTCTGTTGATCACATTCAAAGATGGTTCTATAACATTAAAACCTACTTCTAAAAAGCTTTTTTTTTTCTTTTTCTGCTTACAGTGAATAGTGGACTAAATTTTAAATAGTCTAGACTGGTGAAGTAATGCATTACTCTCTCTGCTCTAGGCTCTTCGATACTTGGCAGAATGCCGTGCTAACAGAGAAAAGATGAAAGGAGAACTGGGTATGATGCTGAGTTTGCAAAATGTTATACAGAAGTAAGTACAGTAGTCCTAATGCAGTGGAACTTAACCTGTAAAAAAATCGACTAGGCTTGTGGTTTTGTATCTGTGTGAATATGTACAGACATACTCATACTCTTTTTTTTTTTTTGAGCCACACCTGGCGATGCACAGGGGTTACTCCTGGCTCTGTACCCAGGAATTACTCCTGGCGGTGCTCAGGGGACCATATGGGATGCTGGGAATCAAACCGGGGTCGGCTGCATGCAAGGCAAACGCCATACCCGGCTGTGCTATCGCTCCAGCCCCCAGACTCATACTCTTAAGTCAGAATGTACTTACTCTTAAATACTCTTACTCTTAAAAACATACTTTTAAGTTAGAATGTGTATGTATGAGGGCTGTGGCCGTAACATAAGGATCTCCTTGTATCTTTATAGACAAGTGGTTTGAGAGTCAGTTTATACTGGCATAGTTTTGAAAATAAGAATCTTCAATAGTTCACAATGGTAATGGATATAATAGGGTAAGGTCTAATAGATAAAAAAAGGGTAAATTGAGATGTGATAGGGACAGTTTCTAGATCTGCACTACAGATTGAACATCTGGAAAAAGAAATGAGAAGAATCTGAAGAGAGTTTCAGATTCTAGTGCACTCCATGGGGAGTTGGCAGGTGACAATTAGAAATGGCCCTGTCTGTTCCCTGCTGTTCATTCATTGGCTGGGAGGTGCTCAGGAGGAGAGACTTATTAGACTGAGCTGTACTGGCCTATTGGATCATGTGAAGAGAGTCACACCCAGGACAGGTGTTCACACCTCTACTTCCTGGAACTGAAGTTTCTTTCTTTATTAAAAGAGAGAGATCTAAGCAGCATATCTCCATAGTTATCATACGTGGCATATTTTTGTTATCAGGGCCTAACTCCTGGTTCTGTACTCAGGGACTTGTTTTTTTTTTTTTTTTTTTTCTTTTTGAGTCACATCTGGGTCATGCACTCAAGAATTGCTGAGGGGACCATATGGGATGCTGGGAATCGAACCCGGGTCGACCATATGCAAGGCAAACACCCTACCCACTGTGCTATCACTCCAGCCCCTCAGGAATCATTCTTGATGGAGCTCAGGGGACTATATATGCTCCCGGGATTAGACTCAGATAGTATAGTGGGTAGGGCGTTTGCCTTGCATGCAGCCAAACTGGGTTTGATCCCCAGCATCCCATATGGTTCCCAAGCCCACCAGGAGTGATTCCTGAGTTCAGAGCCAGGAGTAACCCAAGCATTGCCAGCTGTGGCTACAAAACATAAAACAAAAAGATTATATATGGAGCAAGGAGAGATAGTACAGGTAAGTCACTTGCTGGGAATTGGTGTTTGAGATTGAACCTGGGTCAACATTATGCAAGGCAAGAACCCTGCCCACTGTACTATCTCTACAGCACCTTCCCCATGGTCTCCCAATATACTTGTTTCTTTTGGGTTCTTCATAAAATTTTCCAAAAATTCAAAAGGAAAAGTGGGATTGTGGTTTTGGTTTTTGAACCACATCTGGCCCAGAGTGAAAAGTTTTTGCATTTTTTATTTTGTTTTGTTTTGGGGGGCTAACCAGTGATGTTCAGGGCTCATTCCTGGCTCTGTACTCAGGAATCATTCTTGGAAGAGCTCATGGAAATCATTTGGAGTACCTGGTATCCAACTCCAGGCACAAGGCAAGTGTAAGTCTCCAACCCCATGATACATGTTATATGTATTGTGTATATGCATAACTCATCTAGTACTGCAAACTTACTTACTTGGATACTATTTTGCGTTTTGACATCTGTGTTACCAGATACAGTGACTGAATTATACTCTTCTAACTGAACTATTTTATGAAATAATTAGTACCTCATGCTTGCATAAGCTACCTTGGTAAGTTACAGCACAGAAAATCATGTCATATACTCTGATAGTTTTATTGGTTGTGACTGCCTTATTACAGTCAACCAGTGAGGATGGAGTTCCAGTCATATCTTGTGCCGAGTTGGGCAGTTCTACTATTATTTATTTATTATTTTTTATAGAACTCTTCAACTAAGGAAGGATTAGAAGGATATTTGCATACTACAGAAAGATTCACAGAATAAAGAAAAGCTCTTGTGGAGGGATGCTGCCTTAGTGACTGATGAGAAATCTTTCATCTGGCAGTGATCAAAGGGGAGACAAGTATACAAAGTTTAGAAGTAGGTAGGAACAGTGGAGGTTGTTCTTCAAATGGGAAATAAACAGTTGTTTATTCTCAGGTTGTCACTTTTATCTCAGTATATTTGGTAAGGATTTTGTTGTTGTTGTTGTTGTTGTTGTTTATTTTGGTTTTGGGGCAATGCTCAGAGTTTACTCTGTGTGGACTCTGGGAACCTTATGTGGTACCAGGAGTCAAACCCGGACCAATTGCATGCAAGGCAAGTGCCCTGCCCATTGTACTATAGCTCTGGTGGCCCCTTTGCTAAGTTTTTAAATATACTACTTATGAGGAACTTTTTTGTGTTGAGGTCAAACTTTTGCTTTCAGAGGGACAGTTGGATTGACTTCAGAGTCAATGTTACTTTTCAGTTCTGAAGAGAATTTTGAGTTCTCTGTCAGAGTAAATCTGGCATTATGTTCTAATTTTAATTTCTTCCATAAATAAAAACTTGTCATTAGAAGTTGAAAGAATCTTTTTATTTTTTCCAATTTATTTTTAGTTTTGGATTCCTTTGGGAAGAGAATTTTTTCAAAATGTCAACTTAGAAGAACATCTAGATCCAGTTTAAGACATTTGTTAATTGATGTTTCAGGAGTAATGCTTCTGAATAACATATACTTGATAAAAGCTCTTGTGAATATCTAACATAAATGTAGTTTTATCTAACTATAAATAAAAGTTACTTTATTAAAATGTGGCATCACAACTTTAAAATAACTCATTTGATTTGGAGAACTTCCTAAATTCGAGATTTTGAAACAATTCCATAATAAGTGGTGGTCTATTCTTGCTAAAATCTTAGATGAAAATTATGTGTTTTAGATTGGAGAGATAGTCCAGGAGGTAAGGCACTCGCTGTGTATGTAGCCAACTCTGATTTGATTCCCAGCACTGCATATGGTTTCTTGAGCACCACTGGGTGTAGCCTAAACCCCTCTCCCAAAAGAAATGTACTTCATTTCTTTATGCTTGTTTTTTTTTTTAATCTAGTTCTGTTTTTTTAAATGTCATTAAAATTTTTGGTTGCAAGTATGTATGCAGTGTGTGATTTATAAAAATAAGAAAATGTGAAGGGAACAAAAAAAAAAATAGGGCCAGGGAGATCGAAAAGGGATTGAGGCACTTGCTTTGCATCCCATTCACCTGGGTTTGAATCCCAGGCACCACATATGGTCCCTTGAGCACAGAGCCAAGAATAGCCCCTAAGCACCTCCCCATATCCTCCCCCAAATCCATAATGCCATTTAAAATCTTTTGGTTAAAATAAGTGTGTGTACTTATATACACACATTTAAAACTTAAGATTGAAATGTCAAACTTAAGGAAAAGTGGTAAAGACAAGTATTCTTAGAGTCCCCAAATCTTACATTTTACCACATTTGCCTTATCGCTTTTCACTCTATATGTTATGTGTAAATATATATTCTTGAGTTATGTATTTATTTTGGAATGTCTTTGGGTTAAAAAGCGCCCTTTATTATGTTAATGCTTTGATTTAGAGTTGGATTTACCTTTTCTTTGCTTCTGAATTACTGTGTTGTAGCACTGTCTTACTATGTTGTGCAATGTCTTTGTGAGTCAAATTGAAAATGTGGTTTTTAAAACTGTGTTTTTGAATTTGTTAAGCTTATTTAATGTTAATTACTGTGACAGCTATGATTGGGATTTTTGTTTTTTTGGCTTTTTGGGTGACACCCAGGCCATACTCGGGGGTTACTCCTAACTCTGCACTCAGGAATCACTCCTGGGAGTGCTCAGGAGACCATAGGATGCTGGGTATCAAAACCAGGTTGGCCACTGGCCACAGGCAGGACAGACATTTTACCTGCTTTTCTATTGCTCTGGCCCCAATGACTGCTTTGTTTTATCTCAACTCTTTATTATAGCTATCATGTGTATTATATTCTAGTGGTTGTGTTTCTCTATGTGTGTTCTTTTATTCTGAATGTTTTTCTATTACTAAGGAAGATTTGTCTTTTAGAGTGGTTGCTTTGTTCTGAAATAGCCTGAGTTGCTTGTTTTCATATATAAACTTTCTTGTTTCTTTTTAATAGTTTCTTTGACTCCTACCTACTATGAATTTGAGTCAGTCACTGAACTTTTTCTAGTTTTCTTTCTCTTCTCACTTTTTTTAAAAAAATTATTGGTAAGGCGTTTGCCTTGCATGTGGCCGACCTAGGTTCGATTCCTCCACCCTTCTCGGAGAGCCTGGCAAGCTACCGAGAGTATGCCGCCCACATGGCAAAGTCTGGCAAGCTACCCGTGACTATTCAATATGCCAAACACAGTAACAAGGTGTCTCACAATTTTTGGTGAGATGTTACTGGTGCCTGCTCGAGCAAATCGTTAAACAATGGGGGGACAATGACAGTGAGTGACAATATATATATTTTATATTTTATTAGAACACTTATATTCTTCTTTCTCGTCCCCACCTTTCTTTTAGTTTTAATTGACAGGTTCTTTTTCTGAAGTTTACCCAGTTATCTCTTAGTTAATTGAAATTCATTCTTCAGGAAATTGCTCAAGAAAAGCTTAAATATTCCAAAAGTTCTTTCATGTTAATTTTTTTTTCTATAACGACACATACCCATTGTTCATTCTTTGTTTTCTTGGTATTCTTAAAAATGCTCATTTTTGAGGTCTTGAATTTTTATTGTTTTTGAGAAGCTGATATTAATCTATCTTACAAATGTATGCATTAGTAGTATATACTGATGGGAGTGCTTCAGGATACACAGCACCAGACATCAAATCTGGATCAGCGTATGCAAGGCAAGCATCTTACCCTCTATACTGGTCCCTTAATCCATTTTGAAATAACTTTTCTATATGGTATGAGATACTAGTCAAAATAATATATATATTTTGCCTGTGGCTAACCAGTTTTCTCTGTATCATTTGTTGTAGATACTTTTCTTCTACTTTATATTTTCAGTTTTATTGTAAACTAGTCACGTATCTAAGAATTCGCTTATGGACTCTCAATTCTTTTCTAGTGGTCTGAGAGTCAATCATAAAGTTATTTTATTTATTTATTGACTTTTTTTTGGCTTTGGTTTCTGGACCACTCCCGATGGTGCTCAGGGCTTACCCCTGGCTCTGTGCTCAGGGTCGTTCCTGGCATGGCTTAGAGAGGACTTTATGCAGTCTCAGACTAGGGGAATGAACCTGGATCAGGTGAATGCAAGGCAGGCACACTACTGACTGTACTGTCTCTCTGGCCCCCTCATCATTTTGATTACTGTAGCACTGTCCTCCCGTTGTTCATTGATTTGCTCGAGCGGGCCCAGTAACATTGTGAGACTTGTTACTGTGTTTGGCATATCGAATATGTCATGGGTAGCTTGCCAGGCTTTGCCGTGCTGACGAGATACTCTCGGTAGCTTGCCGGGCTCTCCGAGAGGGGCGGAGGAATTAAATCCAGCTCGTCCGGGCCGGTCGCATGCAAGGCAAAGACCTTACCACTCTGCTGTTGCTCCAGTCCATGTTTTGATTACTATAACCTTATAATATAATTTGGTTTCTTGTCTTTGTGCCACATTCAGCTGTCCTCTGTCTGGCCCTACTCCTGGCTCTATCACTCATCGAGGGCTCTGGGAACCATATGGAGTACCAAGGATCGAAGCCAGGTCTGCCACCTGCAAGGCAAATGCCCTACCCCAGCCCTATCACTCCAGCTCCGAGCTTTATAGTATGACTTAAGTCCAGGGAAAGTGACACTTCTCATCTTTTTTCCCTAGGAATGTTGCTCCCTATTAATTCAGTTAACATATTTCATTAGGCTTACTCATGGATCTGCACTCAGAAATCACTCCTGGAGATGCTCTGTCGATTATAAGGGGTTCCAGGGATCGAATCTGGGTTGGCCACATTCAAGGCAGTTGTCCTGCACGCTGTACTGTTACCCTGGCCTCTTACTAGGTCTTATGGAAGCTACAGAGAAACTATCCTTGTTCTTTTTTGTGTTTTTGTTTTTTGGGGGGGCCACACCAAGCCATGCTCAGGGGTTACTTCTGGCTCTGCGCTTGGACTACTGGTGTTGCTCTGGGGACTGTATGGGATGCCGGAGATTGAATCAGGTTGTCGATGTGCAAGCCTTATCTGCTGTACTGTTGCTCTAGAGAGAAAAATAGGAAAGTAGGGTTAGCGCTATATGAGCAAGCCTAGTAGGTTTGGATGTTGACAGAAGCCTTACTGGACTTGCTATGAAGGAGGCTTCATAAATAAGGTGGCTGATAGGAGTCTTCAAAGGAAGTAGTTTGAAAGCATACGCTCTACAAGAGCCTCTTTGGGCTGAGGGGAAGTCCGATCAGGGAGTACTCTGACAGTGCTTGGAAAATCACAGGGTGAGGGACATTGAACAGGGGCCTCCTGCATGCAAAGCATGTGCGTAGCCCTTCGAGCTCTTTCTCTAGCTGATGGAAAGTAATTTATGAAAGGACAAAGTGAGTTGGTGGTGGTTGAGCTTAATGGGAACAGATTTTAAATGCTTTAAATATGTGAGAGAGTTTGGACTTGGGCCCATTTATAGGTGAAGTGAGGATTATTTTCTTACAGTTGTATGTACTTAGCAATATTAAATTCAACTACTTAATAAAAATTGTTGTATCTCTACTGTGTAATAGGCAGCCACTTGCCACATGTGGCAGCTTAAGTTTAATTAAAGGTAAATAGCATTCATGTTTTGGTTGTACTTTCCACATTTCAGGTGCTTAGTAGCCACTTGTAAATAGATTGGTTCACTACAGAACATTTCTATAAAAGCAGAAAAATGTTATCCTGGCACTGAATTAAAAAAAGTATGACGGTTTTGGTGAAGTTAGGATTTTATGATTTATGCATGCTCTGTAAAACATAGGTAAAAATGTAACTTAAATAGAACCATTTTCAATTTACTAAATTTAGAAAAACAGTAATAATGAATTACCTCTCCCAAATTGTTTTCTGTTTTCAGATTTTATATGCTTTCTTTTTACAAATTTCTTTTTTATTTTATTTGGATGGGGGTTGGGCTACTCTGGGCTCTGGAATTACTTGGGAAGTGCATTTGGAAGTTCTTGGGGTAATGCATACTAGGGATTGAACCAAGTTTGGGGAGCCAGAGAGATAGTACAGCAAGGTAGGGCACATGCCTTGCGTGTGGCAGAACCAAGTTTTTCCCCCAGCATCCTACATGGTCCCCCAAGCCTGCGAAGAGTGATCCCAGAGTACAGAGCCAGGATTGATCCCTGAGTTACCTCTCCTTCCCGCCTCTCCACCCCCACATATAAATCCAGACACAGAAGCTTCATGCAAGTCAGGTGCTTCACCTTCAGACTATCTCTTTAGGCCCCTTTCCCTGATTTTTAAACCTCCCCTCTCTCCCCTTTTGTTGTGTGATGTCTGTCGGTTACATTCTTGGTTGTGGTGCTCACACAGTTTGTTACAGTACGCACTGTTGGCCGCACATGTGATTGTACTTACTGTGTGCTTTGGGTGAGGGGGTTGCCCACGTGGCTCCGCTGTGCTAGAGATTGCACACTAAGCGAATTCTTAGATACGTGACTAGGTATCCCATAGAGCAGTGCCGCTTAATGTAGTGTGTGGGGTGATCCCGGCATCAATCATACTTAACACCTAAGGCCTGCAGTCGGGAGTTCTACCTTTTAGCTATCCTCAGGCTAAATTTGTTGTGTTTTCTGCAAGATCAGGTTACTTTTAAATTGTAAATTGAGGGTTGGTATTAATCCAGGGGCAAATGCATTTATCTCTTGATTTTCTATTTAATGATTTCAATATGTGATTGTGTGATGAGTCTTTAATTTCAGTTAACAATAGACTTAAAACATAATTAAAAGATTGTAGGGGCCAGAGTGATAGTGCAGAGGGTAGGGCATTTGCCTTGCACACGAACGACTGGGGTTCGATTCCCAGCATCCTATGTTTCCTCAAGCACCGCCAGGAGTAATTCCTGAGTGCAAAGCAGGAGTAACTCCTAGGCATCGCCGGGTGTGACCCAGAAAGCAAAAAAAGGATTGTAGAAGTAGATGTATTTTCTATATTGATGATTAATTGAGAATTCATTAGTACTTCTGTTTTAAAGAAGACAGTTTTGAGTTGTGCCCAGCTGTGCACAGGGAACCATATGCAGTACTGGGGGTCATTTGCATGCAAGGTAAGTGCCTTAACCCTTGTACTATCTTTTCAGCCCCTCATTGGTATATTTCTTATATATTGAACCAAGCACCTTAACGAAGAAAATGAATCTCTTCAAAGCTGAGGAAACGATAGTATCATTGAGGTAACAAGGTTAATTGATTAATTTATGTGTGTTGTTTTTTTTTTTTTTTTCAAGGACTACAACTCCAGGAGAAACAAAACTGCTAGCTTCTGAAATCTATGACATTCTTCAATCCTCTAATATGGCAGATGGTGATAGTTACAATGAGATGAATTCACGGCGAAGGAAAGCTCAGTTTTTTTTGGGAACTACAAACAAACGTGCTAAGACAGTGGTTTTGCATATAGATGGTCTTGATGATACGGTAAGACTTTTGTAAGCACATGCATCTTAAGATAGAAGAGAGAATTTACTTTAAACAAGTAATTTTTTCAGTGTTCCCTGCTAACAGTTTTTAAGAATGAGTTTTCAGAAGTTTTATATTAATAATGAAGAGAGGTATTATGTGCCTAAGGGATGAGTTAATCAGGAGACATAACAGTTTTAAATCTTTATACTCTAGGGGTCAGGGAGGTTGCCCCAGGGAACATATGGTTTACATACAGAGCTTTGACAGTGCAATCTCCAGCACTGCCTGGTTCTCTGGACACTGAGCCAGGAATAGCCTCCTTGCACTGCTAGATGTGGCTCTAAAAATATTAAAAACGAAAAACAAAACTAAAGCCCACCAAATTTATACTCTAATAATGAAATTTCAAACTATAGGAACCCCAAACTAACAGAAATGCAAGGAGAAATAGCAGTTCCACAATTAGGGCTGGAAATTTCAATACTGCCCTCAATGAAATAATTACGCAGAGTTACTCAGTGGACTGAGCACGAGCTTTGCTTGCAGGAGACCCTGTTTTGGTACCTGCCACGGTATTAAGTGCTACCAGGAGTGACCACTAATTAGAGAACTAGGAGTAATCCCTGAGCACTGCTGGGCAAAATAAAAACATTAAATATACAGAAAAATGGAGTGATATGTGACTCAATAACAATTACCAATTTTTTTATGGAATACTCCATCCAAAAAGAAGATAATATTCTTTTCATGTGCATGTGAAACATTTACCAAGATTGTATTGTGAGCCATATAAAAAGTTTTAATAAATTTAAAATATTTAGAAATTATGTTCAAAGCATACTGTCTGAGCACAGTGAAAAGCAGATTGGAACTCAGTAGCAGAAATATCAATCCTCTAAATATTTGGAAGCTAACACATTTCTAAAATCATGGATCTGTGAAGAAATCAAAACAAACTAGAAAGATTTGTTTCTGAGTTACAGTACCGCACCCTGAGGTGCTAGAGGTCTGAAGAGCCCTGTGGTGCTTGGATTGAACCCTGTACTCTTATGTGGAAAGCAGGGGTCAATTTTTTGAGCCATCTCTGCCCAGAAAACTGTTTGGGTCAGGTATTGTGCTCAGGGCTTACTCCTGGGTCTCTGCTCAAGGATCACTCCTGGAGAGACTCAGGGTCCCGTATGTGGTGATAAGGTTTGAGCCCAGGTCAGCTCTGTGCAAGACAAGTGCTTTCCTCACTGTATTACCTTTCTGGCCCCCAGAAATCATTTTCAAGTGAATAAAGATGAAAATGTAGTGTCAAAACTTGTGGGAAGTAGATAAAGTACTGTTTAGTGGGGAATTTATCTAAATAATGTCTATAAAAGAGAGGTTACTCCTTTCTCTGCACTCAGGAATTACTCCTGGTGGTGCTTGGGAGACTGTATATGCCGGGGACTGACCCTGACAGCAGCACGCAAGGCAAGTGTCCAGTTTGCCACACTATTGCCCCTGCCCCCCTCAGAAATTACTTTTGGTGCTGCTCAGGGCTTCTCTGAGGTGCCAGGGATCAAACCATGGTTGGCTGATACAAGTCAAATGCTTTAAGCTCTCTAGCTCTAAGCTTTTACATCTTATAAAGAATTTAGAAAAGGCTAGGGGTGTAGCTTGCTGATGGAGCATATACTTTGCATTATGAAGCCATCGTCTCCCCCCCTACAAAAAACAAAACAAAAACTAGAAATAGAGAAAAATAGAATGTAGAGTAGGAGAATGATGCAAAAGTAAACCAAAATATAGCGGGAAATCCGTGAAATAAGCAAGTTATCTTTAAAATAATCATTAAATTGATGAATGTCTGGCCTCTAGTTTGTTTTAAGGCAAATTTTTGATTTGTGTACCTACTCTATATAACTATATACCTGGAGACATATAAAACATTTCTTTGGTAAAAAGGAGTCACGAATGAGAAAAAGTTAAGAAGCCTTGCTTGTGCCAAACTTAGGAAATACAAGAAGTAAAAAATTTATTAACACCAGGAATGAGGGCACACTGTGGATCCTGTAGACATTAAAGTGCTTTTGATGGGCCAGAGGGGCAGTCTTAGGAGTGGCAGGGGCGGGGGCGAGTTGTTGCCTCCCTGCAGCAGGGAGGTGGACCTGGGGTCAGTCCCTGCACTGCGTGAGACCTGCCAGGAGTCCCACCAGAGCATGGAGCCAGCAGTCACTTCTGAGCACTATAAGTGTGGCCCCAGCTACTCCACTCCCCCAGTCAGTAAAATGGACAAGTATCTTAGCTTTATGCCAGTAAGTTTGACAGGATAGACACACAGGAAAATTTCTTGATAGACACAGATTATATGAACACTTGAGTGAAATAGAAAACCTGACTAGCTCTATTGTATTAAAAAAGTAAACGTTTTAGTTTAAAATCTTCCCATAGAGAAGACTGGCGTAGGTCACTGTTTCTCAGTCTTCCTGCAACTGCGACCCCTTTCAAACTCGTTTCCTTTTCATGGTCCCTTGTCATATTGGTTAACCCCCTAATCTTGTGCCATCCCCATAAACACCTATATACTTGGTTTTCACCTTTAATCCCTTTGGAATACCCTGGGGCTCCTATTGGGGATCTTTGGGTTCCCAGTTGAGAAACAACTGGCCTAGATAACCTCACTGGAGAATTCTAATGAAAAGTTAAGAAATGTTACAGATTGTACAGAACCTTTGAAACTGATTTTCTGTCACTTGTCCGCAGATCGATAACAATCTGCAGAAATTTCCTGCTAGTTCGTGACAGAGTTATTGCCAACTAACTATGGTATGCTGGGTCATTAATGACCACGAGACCTTTCAATAATAACTCTGTAGACCAGCACCACTCTGTGGACTGCTGTGGAAAACCCACTGTTTTAGATTATTGTAGCGCTCTAATACTTCCCCCATGTTGGTTCTTCTGATTCCTTCCTTCCTTCCTTCCTTCCTTCCTTCCTTCCTTCCTTCCTTCCTTCCTTCCTTCCCCCCCCTCCCTCTCCTCCCCTCTCCCTCCCTTCCTCGCTTCCTTTGTGTCACTTATAAAATTTTATTTAGTTTTTGGTTTTTTTGGGTTACACCCTGAGATGCTCAGGGGTTACTCCTGTCTCTGCTCAGGAATCACTCCTGGCAGTGCAGAGGGGACCGTATGGGATGCTGGGGCTCGAACCCAGGTCGGTCGTGTACAAGACAAGTGCCCAATCCGCTATGCTATCGCTCCGGCACCTCATTTAGTTTTTCTACCTTTAATATTGGCTATTCTGACTCTCTTTTTTACTAATATGTATCTTTTACTTGTACCTAATTTCAGTTGAATTTTATTGGGTCATTTTTACCTTTTGTATATACGTAATACAGTTATCGATATGATTGGGTTTAAACCAGTCATCCCTATGGTAACTTGCTGTTTGTCCCATTGTAGTCTTTGTTTCCTTTCATGGTCTTCTTGGTTTATTTATATTTTTTGACTAGTTAATGTTTTTTTATATTTCTTTTCTGTCTTTTATTTACTAGATAAAATTCTTTTCTTCTGCTCTCTTACCTTCCTTCCCTCTCTCCTTATCTTAGTCTTTTTTCCTGCCCTTTATTATTTTTATGTTATCATTAACTTACCACAATCTTGTTTCAGTTAATATTTATATTCATGTGCAATATAGGACATTTAGAACAATATATTTTCATTTTTCTCATTCATTTCTCTTATCTGATTTTGTGCTATTCTTATATGTTATATTTTATGTCTCTTCTATTTTTGGTGCCAGTGCTCATTGCTGGCTGTGCTCAGGGCTCAGTCCTGGTGGTGCTTGGGCACTCTCTGCAGTGCTGGGATCTCACCAGCATCTGTCGAATGTAAGGCCAGCGCATTTAAATCCCTTCAGTCTCTTTCTGGTCCTTCTGTTTTACTTCTGGGGTTCTGAATGCAAAACTTGTGTGTTTTAACCTTTTGAACCATTGTCCTGAGCTGGGGAAGAATTCTTTCAGGTCTTTTTGGTTTGTTTTAATTAAAATAGACTTCACATACGATAAAATTCATTTCAGAGTACATTTCAATGGTTTTGAGTATATTTGTGCAGCTATCATCATTGTCTAATTCCACTTTATCCTACCAGAAAGAATCCGCCATGATCCATTAATCATAACCATTAGCAATCACTCTCCCTAATAACTCTTGGCAACCATTAATCTTCTTACTGTGTCTTATGGATTTGCGTACTGCAGACATTTTATGTAAATTAATTCATATAATATGTGACCTTTCATGTCTAGTTTTTACTTAGCATAATGTTTTCATCCTTGTTTTAGTGTGTATTAGTACATCATTTCTTTCTTAAATAATATTCCATTGTAAGAAAATATTTTGTCTACTTAATGATCGATGCTGGTTATTACTACTTTTTAGCAGTGATAATAATTTGCTATGAATTGGTGTATGAGTTTTTGAGTAGACTTAATTTTCTTGAGTGTATTTTTTAGGGTAGAATTGCTGGGTTGGCATATGTTAACTTTGTGTTTAACTTTTGGAAGTCATTGCTACTGTTTTTCCGCAGTGGAAACACCATTTTACATTTGCATCAGCAGTGGATGAGGATTCCAGTCTCTCTACATCCTCATCAGTGTTTGCTTTCATCAGGTTTTTCAAGTATACATAGCCCATCCAAGAGGGTGTGAACTGGTAGTGATTATCGGCAGGGGTTGGGCAACAGTGGGGTGTTGGGGCCACACACAGGTGCTCAGGGCTTCCATCTGGTTCTGTGCTTGGGACCATATGTGGTGCCAGGGATCAGACCAGTGTTAACAATATGTAAGGCTAACCCCTTAACTCCTGCGCTGTCGCTCCAGTCCATCCATTTTACTTTTTTTTTTTTTTTTTTGCTGGGGGCTTCCCAGCCTTCCCAGCCATCTTGGGGGGCCACCAGAGTTATGCCCATTAGTACTCAGAAGTCCATGCAGTTTGGAGGTTAGAGCCCAAGTCTTGGTTCATGCCGGACATGTGCTTCAGACTTCTAAGCTATCTCTTTGTTAAGTATAAATCTTTAGTTTATCATACGTTGTCCCTTCTTTGGAGAAATATCTATTTTACTTATTTTCTGTGTTAAAGTTGTGTGGGTTTTTTTTTAAATATTTTTATTGAGTTCTATTAGTATCAAGTATTCTATTGATTAATTTTCTTAAATTGAACCAACCCGTCTTAGGAAACTCCTTTTCTGTCCTGCTAGGTAACATTTTTAATAATGCTGGATTGAGTGTGCTAGTATTTTGTTTTCTTTCATCAATAAATGCTTTTCTTTCCTTGCGTTATTTTTCTTTTGTTTTACACAACCAAGGTAATATTCTTGTGGATACTCTGTCCAGGCTTCATGTAAGATGAAGATATTTAAAACTATGACTGATTTGTGAGCAAACAAAATTGTTCTCTTTTTTGCTTTGGTTTTGGAGCCATACTTGGTGCGCTTGGGAATCATTCTGTGGGTGCTTGGGGATCCTGTGGTGCCCGGGATCTGTCTAATCTCTTGCCCACTTGTAAAGTATTCACTCCTGCCCTTTGAGCTCTGTCCTGGCTCTGAAGAATTGCTCTTACAGGGCTGGGAATGTTCTCAAGTGGCAGAGCCTTTGCATGTGTGGGCCCTTGGGGCTTGATCTCTGATGCCTCATAACTTTCTGGGTGTAGCCAAGTATGCCCCCTAGGCCCAGTAGGAAAGGATGAATAGGAAGTGACGAGGAGAGAAGAGAGTTGTTCTTTCATTCTTTTCCAATCCAGACTTCTACCCATCTTCCGGTGGTTTCCCACACGCATCCACAGATCAGCAGCAGAAGGAAATTCACGACTGATGTCTAGCACAGTGTCCCGGTGTCAACTCTTTGTACAACTCTGCCTTCACATGTGCTCTGTCCTGTGAGTTGTAATTGCCTTCTCAGCTGGGTCCTTCTCATTTAGCCAGGCTGCTACTTCGCAGCCCTTGCCGGGTCGCTGCCCACAAGCCCCATCATCTGTGAGTTGGTGTCCTGGTGGAGCTTGTCTCACTGGTTTCATTCTCGCCTGGGGGCCTATTTCCCAGTAGTCTTGAAACGATTCTTTCATTCATCTTTTTTTGTCTATGTTTTTAGTTGCTTAATTCTCAGGGGTAAACCTGACCCTTGTACCATCTTCATTGGAGTTGGAAAGCTCCCTGAGACTATCTTGAGTCAGAATAAATTTTCTTAACTTACATATTTAGAGATGATGACTGATGGCTTACCACTTCTCTCTTTAGCGATGCCAAATAGATTACTCATAATTTTTTCTAGTTGTGTGAGGTCAGTTAAGTCTCAGAATTTAGGAGTTAGTTATTGTGTTTGGTGGTTGGGTTCCATAGGCATAGTCTCCATGATATCGCCCCCCCAAAATAACAATACTTACTGAATCTTACATTAGATCCTGAAGTTTCAAATTAACTTTGTTTTGTTTTGGGGCCACACCCGACAATGCTCAGGAATTACTACTGGCTCTATACTTAGGAAGTGCTCCTGGCGGATTTTGCTCCAGGGAACATATGAGATGCTGGGATCAAACCTAGGTTGGCCACGTGCAAGGCAAGTGCCCTACTTGCTGTAATATCACTTTGCCCTGAAGTTTCTTGAAAGCAAGTTCTGGTAGATTATTAACAAATTGAAGATACTGAGGATACATAAAACAGTATATAGTTAGACTCTTAATTTGTTGGATAGCTACATGGAAACATATTCAGTCTCACAGTAGGAAAAGCATTGTATGTTATTTGTGTGCATTGGGGCTTTTAGAAAGTAATTTCTGATTTTGAATCTTCTAGGCATTTCCCCCTTTGCTTTATTTCCTCACCTGCAAATTACAGTAGCATAGTCTTTAAAGTTTAAAGAGAACTACTAGTTGTGCTCAGTTGGTTCTCTCGTCTCAAAACAGTACACTCACTGTCTCTCTTCTTTCTCTCCCTTTGTGCTCCCCACTTATCCTAGTCAAAAGTTTATTCATCATTCATAGCTAAATTTTTTTTGTTGTTTTGGGCCATACCCAGAGATGCTCAGGGATGGCTTCTGACTCTTTGGGAATTTCTCCTGGTGATCTCAGAGGACCTCCACCATAGCATGCTAGCGATTGGATGCATGCCGGGCAAATGTCCTGTATTATCACTATAGCTCTCATAGTTAATTCTTGATCCTGTTTGCTTGTTGAAGATTTTATGTTTATTCAGAAATAGCTATCCCTGAGATCAAATCTTGGAGTTGAATTTTTCTACACTACCCGCCTCACCCCATCCCAAGCTTCACTTGTTGAAAATGTGTTAATTTGTGTCAAAATTAAGATGAATTGGCTTCGTGAATCTGGTTTCTCACTGTCACATATAGTTGGAATGTAGTGTCAGACTCTGCCTGTGATAAATGAGGCAAGTTGCTTAGCTCTTCACCCCTTTTCTCATTTAAAATAAGGAATCAAACTGTAGTAGTGCTCGAACTTCGTGTTGTCTGTGCTGTGCAAACGGTTTTTCACTTTAAAGTTTATCTGGTGTTGGGTCTATGGAAATGTTGGAATTTGATTCCAACCTTATAAAATTTGGAGCCTGTATCAGAACCCTTAAGAAATAGTGCACGGCCGCGAGCCTCTATGCTGCTGTATACCACTCTAACCCAGACCCTACCTAAGCAGAGTTGAAGTGTAGAAGTGAACAAAATTGGTTTAATTAGTAAGATAAGAAGTGGTGTACGTTTTTTGTTTGGTTGGTTTGGGGCTGCACCTGGTGCTTCAGGCTTCCTCCTGCCTCTGTGCTCAAGGATCGCTTCTGGTGGTGCTCAGGGGACCATGTATAATACTGGGGATCAAGCTGGGCTTGAAGACTTGCAAGGCAAGCATTTTACCTGTTGTGTTACCCCCCTGACCCAAGTAAATTGTTTTAAAGAATATGGGTATAAGTTTCAAGAATGATTTTCGGGCTGGAGAGATAGCTTAAAGGGGTATGTTTTACATGCCTGGCGAGCAGCAGAGCCCTGAGTTTCATCCCTCACCCTGCAGGAACTTCCCGGCACTGCCAGGTAGAACTTGGGGGCCACAAATTCTGGGAAGGATTAAAAACCAAAACAAACCAAAAAAAATTTTATTCCTTTGGAGAAGATTATGACAGAATTTGGGTATTTTGTTGTTTGTTTTTTGGGGACCACGCTCAGTTGTGCTCAGGGCTTACTCTTGACTGCACTCAGGGACTCAGGGATCACTTCCAGCATTGCTGGCATGTAGTATGGAGTGCTGGGGGGGGGGGCGGGTGGGGACGGGGAGGTCAAAACTGGGTCAACCATGAGCAAGGCGAGCACGCTACCCACTGTGTCTCTGTGCCAGATTGAAGGTAGTGTTTTTCAGGTTTTAATGCAGAGACATGAATCAATAGCACATTCCTGTCTCCTCAGAAGTACTGAATCAGAACATGGTCTTGATACAGAAATAGGAAAATAGGGAGAATGGCAATTTGATGTGTGGGATGAAGGTGAAGGGAGGGATGAGCAGAAATTGTACTTTCACCCATTTTCTCTTTGGATCATCCATTTTGAGATGATCCAAAGGTCTCTCGGTATCTTCTGTTTGATTAATATCCAAGTGAGTATATCTGGTTGAAAAATAAAAATTGTCATATTGAAGATACGTGTGTGCCTCTAAATGATAGTGGTGGTTGAAGTGGTAAGAATTTTCTACAGGGGGACAGATAGAAAGTATTTAGTTTTAGAAATTGGACCTTGGAGGTTAGATGAGATATAGAAAACATAATTTATTATGTTTATTATAAGGAGTAGGTTAATATAAGGAGTCAAGCATTTCAGGCTATTGTCATAGGGAAAATGGAATCAATAAAAAATGTGAGCCATTGAGAATGCCATAAGTGAACGATGTTTTAATTGCCAAGTACTTGCTTTTGGTGCTGGGATTCAAATCCAGCTACAAAGTATTTAAAATGGTGATTCTGGGGCCAGAGAGATTGTACTTGCCTGACACAGGTTTCCACTTCTGGCATATTTATGGTCCTCCAAGCACTGCTAGGGGTCACTGTAGTGCATAGAGCCAGGAATAGCCCCTGAAAACTCTCAGCTGTGACCCCAAAACTAAATAAAACAAGCAAAAAAAAATAGTGATTCGAACAACAAATCCTCACTGATTATAACTTTATTAGAATTTATCCCTAGATATTTTTAAGTAAGCAAATGGCAGCAGTTTTTTAAGGCCTTTTATTGAAAAGGCTAGGCAGTAAGTAGTTTAGATTTTGTAAGCTGTATGGTTTCTGTTATAACGACTAATTGCTGTAGCATGAAACAAGCCCCAAACAGTACGAAGCCAATGGTGCATCAGGGCTATTCTCCGCTAAAGTTTTATTTCCACAAACAGCAGGTAGGTGCTAGTGCTAGTTGACTGACTCTTGAACTAGAAGAACCTCTTAATTTCCATCTTTTTTTTTTTTGGTGTTATTGTCCTGTTTTGATTAAAGATTTAGATTAATAACAACTAAACTTTTCTCTGAGTGAACTTATTAAAGCAGATCATGAAACTTGAAAAAAATGACAGCAATTACTGTTCTCTATATAATTTAAAATAATCTGATTAAGCACAACTCCTTCTATGCCTTCAAATATGAGATGGCAGAATGTTCGTTCCCACCCTATTGCCTCCTACTGTCCAATAACATCCACTCAATAGTAGTTCAATTGATTTATTCCCTACTCTTCTTTGTCAGTCTTAATAACAATTTTCTTTTACTTTTTCAGTCTCGGAGAAATCTATGTGAAGAGGCTTTGTTAAAAATTAAAGGCGTAATTAGCTTTACTTTTCAAATGGCTGTTCAGAGATGTGTGGTGCGGATCCGTTCAGATTTGAAAGCAGAGGTTAGTATATTAAATGACTGAATGAACTTGCAGTTTCAGGTAGACAAATCAGTGTTCAGAATTGTTTCTTTTTCTCCTGACTTAGGCTTTGGCATCAGCTATAGCATCGACCAAGGTTATGAAGGCGCAGCAGGTTGTAAAAAGTGAAAGTGGTGAAGAGGTAAAAAACTTTATTTCGTTTTCTCTGTACTTAACTCTGACATGTGACTGTTTTTCATGGGTAGTAGATTGCTAATATTTCTATACGAATAGTTATCGGACATATAGACATGTATTTGTACAAATTATCTTAATATTTCCTAGTTAACTGTTCACTTCAAGAAATAAAATTTTTTTTGTTTTGTTTTTTTGGGGGGTAAATCACACGTGGAGGTGCTCAGGGTTACTCCTGGCTATATACTCAGAAATTACTCCTGGTAGAGCTCAGGAGACCATATATGATATTGGGGACAAAACCCCGTTCATTGAGTGCAAAGAAAGCACCCTACTCACTGTACTATCTCTCTGGCCCCAAGAAATCTTCTGTGAATATCAGAGTCTGAGTCTGGTTTTTTTTTTTTTTTTTTTTTTTGAATGTTTATACTTTAGTATAGAGAGTCAGAGAGAAAGGCACACATTGCAGGCTGTGATGCCGGCAGCAGAGAATGTGCCCAGAGCCTGCTCTTCTGTTTTATTGATTTCAAATCTTCCCCTTTTTTGTTTTTAAGGTACTGGAACTGAACTCAGGGCCTCACACATATGGGGCATGTGCTCTACTACTGAGCTACATCCCCAGTCCTGCGTGGTTCTTGTTGTTATTTTTTTTAATACTTTATATTCCTAATTAGTTTTGCCAGTTAAAAAAATTATGTGCCAGCCTCATTGTTGGGCAACTACATCATGAGAAAATCTTCACCTCTTGCTGCTTTCCCACTAGCTTTGGGTAGCACTGCACTGTAGCACTGTCCTCCGTTGTTCATCGATTTGCTCAAGCGGGCCCAGTAACGTCTCCATTGTGAAACTTTTGTTACTGTGTTTGGCATATCGAATATGTCACGGATAGCTTGCGAGGCTTTGCTGTGCAGTGAAATACTCTCAGTAGCTTGCTGAGCTCTCCGAGAGGGGCGGAGGAATAGAACCTGGCTCAGCCGGGCCAGTGGCTTGCAAGGCAAACACCCTACCACTGTGCTATCGCTCAAGCTTTGGGTAAAAGAGAGTAAATCTCTCTGCCTTTAATTCATCTGCACTCCTGTAGAAATGAACTGGTAGGGCGCAAGGGGCCACAGTTTCCAGATACTTTTGTGGGGGGGCAGGGAGGTAGTGGTTTGGCCCACACCCAGGGTCTGTCTAAGCTGGTACTCGAAGGGACTGCATGTGGTACTAGTGATTGACCCAAGTGGGATTGGCCGCGCCCAAGGAAAGCGCCTCATCCCTGTCCTCCTTTCTGTCCCATTACTTTTGTTGTTTTTCAATAAACCTAGATTACATTTTTCAGAGAATTTTTTTTTAAATTTTCACAATATTTTTAATTTTGTGGTGGAGAGTATTCAGAGGCTCTTATTCCATCATTTTTCTTTTTTCTTTCTTTTTTTTTACAGTAACAAAAATTTCATGTTTGAACTTTGATCATACAGTCATCAAACACCCATCCCTTCAGTGTACATTTTCCACCACCTAAATCCCCAGTATCCCCCCGCCTTCAATTCTATGCCTCCCCCTGCCTGTGTGGCAGACAATTTGCGAAGTATTCTTTCTCTACTTTAGTTCTATATTTCGAGACCAGTGCTACCACCCGTCATACCTGCTGAAAATACAATTGCTAGACAATGTGTTTTGTGTTGCTTGTTATGGATAATGTTGCGTGGTGGAGCAATATAGGAAATATAAGATTTTAATAATTGGGGTCTGAAGAAATCGCTGCCGCGAGTTAGAGCATCTGATTTTTCACGTGCAGCCCTGCCTCTCTGTGCTTGTAGTGTGTTCAGTTGCACCTGTTTTCATGTATGAAGAAAAATTTTCTAGGAATCTTGTCCCTGAGAATAACGTAATTAGAATGAGTGAAACTGAACTCTCACTTATGTCTCTGTAGCAGTTAGGTTGATTGTTCCTAATTCTCAACAATTGGATTGTTTCAGATGCTGGTCCCATTCCAAGATACCCCTGTGGAGGTCGAGCAGAACACAGAGCTGCCTGACTACCTGCCCGAGGACGAGAGTCCCTCGAAGGAGCAGGACAAGGCAGTGTCCCGGGTTGGCTCACACCCAGAGGGTGGAGCCAGCTGGCTGAGCACAGCTGCAAACTTTTTGTCCAGGTCATTTTACTGGTGACTTCAGTTTGGGGCTCAAGGACTGTATGAACCAACAAGGGGCCAGTTTTCCATTGTTGTGGTGAACTGTCAAGTGCAATTTGCAATAAGTTATCATGAAAGTTTTTAGATTACATGATTGCGTATGCTGCATTTTACATTTTTTTGGACATTATAGCCCACTAAGTGGTGAAAAGGACAGAGGCTACCTGCAGGTGGAGTTGCTTTGTTCATGAAGGTATTTGCTTTTGGTTTCCTTTGTTTAATTGCCTCACTTTTATAAAAACCTGGGTCCACGTCAAACCAAACATGTGCAGCTTTACATTTTATTTTACGTGAAGCACGTGATTAGGAAATTTATTTTCTCATCAAGCCTCAGGACCTATCTGGAGAAGGTTTTTTTGTTTCCTGTTTCTTTTTTTTTTTTCTCCCAAGCTCAAGTTGTGCATGAATTACTGAACACATTTCTCTGCTTTTCTTCATGAAAAAATACTGTGGTACTCTTCACTGAAAGTTAAAAACATTTCTCATTACTCCTCCCCATTTGTGCCTTTTTTATTTTGCCAACCATGTTTATAAAAAGGACATTACTGATGACATTTTGTGAATCTATATTCATTTGAATGTAGCAGTCCCCTAAAAATACAGCCCAACTTTGCATTGTCTTTTTGGTATAACTTTAATAAGATTAACACAAAATCAGTCATGAAGAATAAAGTGTATATATCATCAAAGTGCGATTGGAGACTATTTGAATGTGATCACACATGGTTCTAGTTGACTTACTACTGTTAGAATCCGCTCTTGAGAGTTACATCCACCATAATACTGGGAGAAACTAAATGATCTCTAGACCTTCATGCTTGCACACTGTCCCCTGGGAAAAAGTTAGTAAAGAACTGACAACCCACAAAAAGAAAACAAAAAATTGATGCCTTGTAACGCTGTAGTGCTACTTGGTTAAGTCTAATTTTAAAACTTAAATTGCTTGGCAGATACCTATTCAGTAGGTGTTTTCTTGTATGCCTTTTGTGAATTTATTATGAACATATGGTCGTATTGAATGGAAAAACACTCAAATTATTGCTTATAAAGAAATAAAGCCAGCATTGGTCTACTTAATCTTGTTTTTTATGGCCAGCCAGAAAACATTGAACTTCAGTGAAGGTAAGATTACTGAATATAAACACACATATATATTTTTTCATAGATAAGAGCTAATTACATATATATAATGCTTTAAATTTCTGGAATATTTGGCAACTAAAAATTTCTTTTTGGAAATTCAGCTAAATCCCAATAAACTATTGCTAATATAATTAAAAACAAATAAGAGAAAGGAAATACTTTTCATCAACCTGTAGAGCTGCTGTTTTACTACTTGTAGAATGTGAAGAGAGAATTGGACACTGGAGGGTTTCCTTGCATATTTATTACTTCTTGAGAAAATGAAGAACATGCAGTGTCATGGAGAAAAATTGCATGTGATACCATCATCACCAGTAAGAATCTTGAGTCTCCAAACATGGTGACCTTCAGTGGAAGGGTATGGCAGGTGCTGAGAACAACAGTTTTTTGTGTGTCTGATTTCAAGATACACACAACTGAAAATGTAAGCTTTCAGGGCATGTGTTGCTTTGCGTGGACAATACAACTCGCTGTGGGATCAGATCTGTTGGAAAAGAAAACAAAACCACCTCCTTTCTGCAGCCATTAAAACAAAGTTTACTGTTCTAACAAGTTTGTATTTTATTTCTCATTCCCACACATTGACTTCTTTCAAAAACTACACCCCTTTTGTAGTGATGGTTCAGTACAAGTTGGTATTATAGCTTGATGTTTATGTGTTCTAATTCTAAGTGTTCTTTTATTCCAGGTCTTATAGAGCAACTAAGGCAACTGTAATGGCATTTTTTTGGGAAATATATTGTAAAGTAATAAAAAATAACATAATAAAAGGGCGTGAGTATTGCACTTTTTATAGAAGCAGTATTGATTATAATTTTTGTTTTTTTGTTTGGGGGCCATACCTGGTGGTTCTCAGGATTTACTCCTGGCTTGGTGCTCAGGGATTACTCCTGGCAGGACTCACGGAGACTTTACATGGTGCCAGGGATCGAACCTGGGTCATCTGCATGCAAAGCAAGCACCTTACCCACTGTACTGGTGCTCAGCCCAGTGTTGGTTATTCTACGCCATTTGTGTTATATTGTCTGGATGCTATTTAGTTCTTTCCAGGTGAATTACCCTTCGGATTCCCACATACCTTTCATTTACCTCATAACCAAAACCACGTCTGTCACTCCCTAAGTTTAGACCTGTTGTCTCTCTACATATATACCTACAGTCGTGTTTATGATATTAAAATAAAATTGTAGTTAAAGGCATCTTTTTTCCTCAATGAGAAATAAAAAAGTCTGAGGTCTTATTTTGGTGGTAGAAGTGCTGAAATAATAACTATAGTGGAAACAAATAATTTTAATATGCAGAAGAAGTGGAAAAGTAGGAAGAATATCGAATTATATCCTTCCCCCATCCCCAGGGATTTTTGAATTATTGGTTAGTTAATTCCTTCCTTTTGTCATTAGAGTTTTATTTTAAAATGTGGGATGGGAACTGTGGGTAGAGAGAGAGTAGAGCAGGTAGGGAGTTTGTCTTGCATATGCCCAACCCAGGTTCAGTTCCCAGGGTTCCATATGGTTTTCCCTGAGCACCATCAGAAGTATTTTGAGTGCAGAGCCAGGAGTAACCCCTCAGCATTGCTAAGTATGACCTCCCCCCAAAAAAATTAAAATGTGGGATGGGGTAGAAAAGGTTTCATTGGTGAGGTTAAAATTAGTTTTTAATATAGTTATAGAAGTTATAGTAGTTACAGTTATAGGAGAGTTCTCTGTTACTGTATATAAGAAATACTGGATTTGATTTCTGTCTTATAACTTGCTAGCTTTGTAATTGTAGGTAAAACTTTAAATTTAATTTTTTCTCAATAGTAAAAATGGATGTAATTTCTCCCTAGTGAGATAACCATAATTTGAAAATAAAATTTATCAATATAAAGTTAATTATTATTGCTAAAACTTTGATAGTACTTCCTGTCCTTGATTTCAGGTGGGACATTCTGTGCTTTTTTTTTTCCTTTTTTAGTTGGGGGCAACACCTGACAGTGCAAGGCTACTCCTTACACAGTGCTTAGGAGACTGGTGCCAGGGATTACGCTTGGGCACTCACTCAGCTCTTGAACTCTTTCTGACTCAGTGCATGCTTTTTCTTTTTCTTCTTTTTTGGGGGGAGTGTTCATCTGTTTGGGTCACATCTGTCGATGCTCAGGAGTTAATCTTAGCTCTGCACTCAGGAATTACTCCTGGTGGGGCTCGGTGGACCGTATGTGATGCCGAGGATCGAACCTGGGTTGGCTGCATGCAAGGCAAAACACCCTACCCGCTGTACTATCTCTCTGGTCCCATATGTGATTTTTCTTAAAGCATTGATTTTGTATTCCTTTCTTGATTTTTCTTTCTTTTTCTTCTTGATGATGGGCGCAGGGGTGTGCATTGGCCTTGCTGTGATGCTTGCTGAGGGTGACATGTTGGGTTGTGCTGCTTGATTATACTGGGTTATGGGGTGCTCAGTGAGGCTTGCACTCTTCTAATTGTAGTGCTTTCCCCCTTTTATTAGTTTGGATATCATTACTATCTTATAAGAGAGGGACTGCAACCATAGTACAGTGAATAGGGTGCTTGCCTTGGTGCAGCTGACCAGGATTCTATCCCCAGCACCCCGTGTGGTTTCTTGAGTTCTGCCAGGAATGATCCCTGCGCACAGCCAGAAGTAATCCTGAGCAATTCTGGTGTGGCCCGAAAACAAAATAAAATGAATACAGGGAAATCAAGTTGCAACATGAAAGATTTCAGAACTTAAGTGGAATAGAAACTTCATGGATAATAGTGTTCTATTTCAATCTACATGCCTTCCAAGGACATCAACAGCCCTAAATAAGAAATAATCTTAGTACCATTTGGTGTCTCTCTGTTCTGTTAGAGGAACTTTCATTCAGGGGCACTGAGTGACAACTCCTGGCTCTGCAGCTACTCGGGGGCCACTCCTGGCAGTGTGCACAAGGAACCATGAGGTGCTTGGATTGAACCTGTCTTCCACATGCAACCTCAGCTCATTGCACTATCTCTCCTGCCCCCTAGAACTTTAACTTTCACACTAAGAGGTAGGATTTTTTCACCCTTCTAGAACCTGCTCTGAACAGCTACTGTTGTTGATTGCAATACTTTCCCCTGGGATTTTTCTGGAAGTATAATGCCTCCTTTGATTTTGTTTCAGGTGCATTCTTTTCACTGAGTCAGAGAGGGCAAGAAACTTTCCAAATGCCTGTCCTTCCCTGACCCTGGCTGCGACACTCTGCAACCCAAGAGTCCTGGGGCTTGTCCACGAGCTTGTTGGGCTTTGCAGTCTTGGCTGAGCCACACTCATTCTGCTTGTGGGGATTGCCAGTTGCTGCAGTGCTCACACACAGGCGCTCACACACCTTTATAGTTGTGCTCTCTAGCCATTACACATCTTTGCAGACCTATACAGACTGGCTATGGTTCAGGTAGAAATTGATTGTGCCACTGGAGCTCAGCCAACAAGAGCTGTCAGTGTCGCACTTGGTGTACGTGGAATCATCTGGGGTTTTTACTCATGACTACATTTTTGCAAGGCTAAATTCGTAAGCCTCTGTGCTATTCCTCCGGGCCTGCCCTTTACGTCTTGGAAAAACAAATGTCTTATGAACGAAAACAGACTCTATTTAAGAGCTGTTGCAGTCTTTTCTCTGAACCATTTAACGCTTAGCTAATTTATAAGAGGTCTTGAATATACTTGAGACAGAAGTTACTCCCATATGTAAAATAGTGTTTCTGGGGCCAGAGAGATACAGTGAGTAAGGCACTTGCCCTGCATATAACCAACCTTGGTTCGATCCCCAGCACCCCATATGGTCCCCTGTGCTGCACCAGAGTGATTCCTGAGCAGTCTAACCTTGAGTATAGCTGGGTGTTCTCCTCCCCCCAAAATGGGAGCAGGATTTGGTCTTGGAAGGTGGCTCAGTGTTGAGCACCTGCTTTACCTATGGGAAACCCTGAGTTTGATCCCCAGCATAACACACGCAAAAAGAAATTTATCCACAGCGTCCTCAGTCAGTCATGAATTGATTCTTTGTGCCTTGCAGTGTGAGCTTCTCACTGTGCAGAGTGTGATTCTAGTGTTTAAAGATAAGTATTTTTTATACAAGATGGCCTCAAATACAAGCCAACTCCTTCATCTGCTGCTCACCCAAAGAATGAGCCATCTGTTTGAACACTGAAGGCAAAATTGGCTGTCTTGGACATATTGAGAGTCTGCCTCCAACATGGTCTGTAAATGTTGTGTACTGTATTTTAAAGGTGACTTAGATTTTCAAGCATAATTTTGACTCTGGGATATATTTTTCTTGTGTGTATGTGTCTGTAAGTGATGCAACTCCATGATAATGCTGCATCCTTCCAATTTTCCTTTTTGCTAGAAAACATGGCTAACCACAGCAGTTCTTTATTTTCCAAGATATGTGGCCACCTTATAAAAAGGAAAAATCTTTCTTTAAGAGAAAAAATGATCGGAATACAAAGCAGGGTTTGAGCAAATGTAACTATTTTTTGTGGTGTGGGAAATTTTTTTCAAAACCTGGGTTTTACATAGGCAGGGAGCCACATCCACAGACCTGGGCAAATATTTGTAAAGTTTCATATCGCTATAAATGACCTATGTTAAATCAAGGCTTTTATATTAATTTTTCAAAATTTTCTACTTTATTTTTGGGCCTTACCCAGCTATGCGCAGGGCTTACTCCTCGTTCTGCACTAAGGTCACTCCTGCAGGGGTTTAGGGGATCTATGCTTGTGAGGGATCAAGCTCAGGTTTGCTGTATGTCAGGTAGTGTCCTACCCACTGTACTCTCTCTTTCACCCTGTAGCACTGTCCTCCCATTGTTCATCGATTTGCTCGAGCGGGCACCAGTAACGTCTCCATCGTGAGACTTGTTACTGATTTTGGCATATCGAAAATGCCACGGGGAGCTTGCCAGGCTCTGCCGTGCGAGCCAGATACTCTCAGTAGCTTGCTCTGAGAGGGACGGAGGAATCAAACCTGGGTCAGCTGTGTGCAAGGCAAATGCCCTACCTGCTGTGCTATTGCTCCAGCCCTAGACTTAATAATTATTTTAAGCACAGCGGTAGGGCCTTTGTCAAGAACAGGATTGCTTCAGCCACCCATCTACACTGCTGGTGTTTAGATGTAGAAAGGTTGAAAAGCACTGATCTACCACCTTGATTAGAACTGTCCATCAAAGGACTGCTGTGCCAGACAGGTGCTGGTCTTTGTGTGTAAAAATTCTACTCTACACCAGGGTCCAGCAAACTTTTTTTTTTCCCCCTTTTGGTTTTGGTTCACACTAGACTATGCTCAGGGATCATTCCTGGTGATTCCATATACAGTGCCAGAGATAAATTCTGGTTGGCCACATGCAAAGTGAGTGCCTTCAACAACAGTCCAAATAGTTAACATTCTTTAAAGCAGTGTGTCAACTTTTTTCCCCAACAGATTCCTTCAGACCTGGCTCCCTTCAGGCTCATCCCCCCTTTCCCACCTTGTTTCCTTCTTGTGGCTCCCCTGTTCTAAAGATTGACTCCTTACTCTTCTGCTGTGGCCCCACATTTATAAGATTTTTCACCTGTGGGGCCCCTTGGAATATCCTGGGTATCCGTAAAGGGTCAAATGGCCCCTGGTTCAGAAACTGTTTAAAGCATGAAAAAACAACAGAAAACTTTGTAACTTTCAAATCTGTAGCAACTATTTAACTCTGCAGTTGTAATAAGGGAGCAGCATAGACAATAAGTGAATAAATGAGTGCGGTTTTGTTATAATAAAATTT